TACAGTAAACACGGGGAATGGCTTTCAAAGTTGTATAATCTCCTGGAGATGCAGATGCCACTGGTTCTCTTCATGTTCTGCAGATGTAGATGTCACCACCGCTATCTATTCTGAGGTGGTTGAATGTACGACCCTTGGTCCGAACAGGCAACTGGAAATACAGACAGGTTTGTTCTTATCTCTGAAAGTTCGTAAGTCGAAAGTTCATAAGTAAAGGAGTCTCTGTAGATCGAATAGGTTTTTGACCTATTTGGGCTGACTTGTGTTCTCCACTAGTTTTGGAGTTTTCTCTGTGTGCTCTGGTTTCTTCCCACGTGGAAAAGTAAAGTATTGCCCTAAAATCCCAAAGCAACACTGCATAAAAAGAGACTTGAGGCTTTCCTGGGCCGAAGAAACTTATGAAAAATACAAGAGCGATTTTTTTTTAGAATTCGTGTTAAACGGGCATTTTAGGGTAACTGCAGTAAAGATAAAAAATGGAGATGCATGACCCGATTGTCGGAACCATCTCGAAAGCAAGAATATCCCAAGGCATCCATTACATTCTTTGTGGTTTTTTTTGCATTCTGTGCCATAGAGTAGGTAGTTCTGCTGTTTACGATGATTAAACATGGAGGCACATGCTAAAATTAGAAGGCCACTGGATGGTAATTTTCCAAATGGCATCTACCAGAACATATGACTCTTGTCATCCGGTTCACTTACACACATTTTCTTCTTCACCAAGGGTGCCACAACATAATAAAGCACTATAATTATGCTCTACTTTATGTTTTATTATAATATTTTTTTTCTTTTGTCTGGGGGGGATTCAGACATTTTAGTCGCTGGATATCGTGGCAAGTGTATTAGCACAGAGTCTGTTTTGCAATAACTAAATACCAGCAACTGACCAATAAAGCTGTGTGGCCTTATCAGCAGTGGTGTAAATGGGCCAGAATGCCCTGGAACACTGATGGAAGTAACAATTTGAACTCGACTGTGTTCCGGAAGGAACCAAGGATTCGTATTTTTATTTTATTGACTCACAGATAGACCCCTAGACTAACGGAGAGACCTACAAACATGCACATAAACCCACAGGCATGCTCAGAGACCCACAAACACGCATATAGAGTCACAGACACGTATAGAGATCCACAGACATGTACAAAGACCCAGAGATGTACACAGATGAGCACAGAGACCCACGGACAATATCCAGAGACTCGCAGACGCACACAGGGACCCACAGACACACACACAGATACCCACAGAAATGCACAGACTCATATACACGCATAGAGGCCCACAGATGCACACAGATACCCACAGAAACGCACAGAGGCCCACAGATGAAGCGAAGCTCCTCCTCCTAAGATCTAGTGTACGGTCTAAATTTAGTGGGAGGTGGGGGGAATCATTTACGAGTTCCCCCAGTAGATTATTCTCATTTCCAGCCCTGCTTATCAGAACATACCATCTACTATACAGTGAGGGAAAAAAATATTTGATCCCCTGCTGATTTTGTACATTTGCCCACTGAGAAAGAAATGATCAGTCTATAATTTTAATGGTAGGTTTATTTGAACAGTGAGAGACAGAATAACAACAAAAAAATCCAGAAAAACGCATGTCAAAAATGTTATAAATTGATTTGCATTTTAATGAGGGAATTAAGTATTTGACCCCCTCTCAATCAGAAAGATTTCTGGTTCCCAGGTGTCTTTTATACAGGTAACAAGCTGAGATTAGGAGCACTCTCTTTAAGAGGAGCACACTCTTAAATTAGGAGCACACTCTTAAAGAGAGTGCTCCTAATCTCAGCTTGTTACCTGTATAAAAGACACCTGTCCACAGAAGCAATCAATCAGATTCCAAACTCTCCACCATGGCCAAGACCAAAGAGCTCTCCAAGGATGTCAGGGACAAGATTGTAGACCTACGCAAGGCTGGAATGGGCTACAAGACCATTGCCAAGCAGCTTGGTGAGAAGGTGACAACAGTTGGTGCGATTATTCGCAAATGGAAGAAGCATAAAATAACTGTCAATCTCCCTTGGCCTGGGGCTCCATGCAAGATCTCACCTCGTGGAGTTGCAATGATCATGAGAACGGTGAGGAATCAGCCCAGAACTACACGGGAGGATTTTGTCAATGATCTCAAGGCAGCTGGGACCATAGTCACCAAGAAAACAATTGGTAACACTACGCCATGAAGGACTGAAATCTTCCAGTGCCCGCAATGTCCCCCTGCTCAAAAAAGCACATATACATGCCTGTCTGAAGTTTGCCAATGAACATCTGAATGATTCAGAGGACAACTGGGTGAAAGTGTTGTGGTCAGATGAGACCAAAATAGAGCTCTTTGCACACAGCGTTGGTGTGTGGTGCTATTTCAGGAATATTTTGATGTTTTTTTCCGGATTTTCTCTTTGCACATGCACAAAGTCACTTTAAGATGTTTTCTTGTTCATGTTTTTGTTTTTTTGTTTGTTGCGGTTGCACCCGATTCAAGAGCCGAATGGCTCACAGGGCTATACCAAATAAATTAAACTATGAAAACTATGAAACTATCAACTCAACTCGCCGTGTTTGGAGTAGGAGGAATGCTGCCTATGACCCCAAGAACACCATCCCCACCGTCAAACATGAAGGTGGAAACATTATGCTTTGGGGGTGTTTTTCTGCTAAGGGGACACGACAACTTCACCACATCAAAGGGACGATGGACGGGGCCATCTACCGTCAAATCTTGGGTGAGAACCTATTTCCCTCAGCCACGGCATTGAAAATGGGTCGTGGATGGGTATTCCAGCATGACAATGACCCAAAACACACGGCCAAGGCAACAAAGGAGTGGCTCAAGAAGAAGCACATTAAGGTCCTGGAGTGGCCTAGCCAGTCTCCAGACCTTAATCCCATAGAAAATCTGTGGAGGGAGCTGAAGGTTCAAGTTGCCAAACGTCAGCCTCGAAACCTTAATGACTTGGAGAAGATCTGCAAAGAGGAGTGGGACAAAATCCCTCCTGAGATGTGTGCAAACCTGGTGGCCAACTACAAGAAACGTCTGACCTCTGTGATTGCCAACAAGGGTTTTGCCACCAAGTACTAAGCCATATTGTGCAGAGGGGCCAAATACTTATATCCCTCATTAAGATGCAAATCAATTTATAACAATTTTTTACATGCGTTTTTCTGGATTTTGTTGTTATTCTGCCTCTCACTGTTCAAATAAACCTACCATTAAAATTATAGACTGATCATTTCTTTTTCAGTGGGCAAACGTTCAAAATCAGCAGGGGATCAAATACTTTTTTCCCTCACTGTATATACTACCCGGCTTCGCCTGTGAATTAAACAATGTGGACACACCACACCACTTACTCGTTTGAGGCTGAGTCGACCTAGGGGAGGCCCAGGACCGTTTCAAATAATCATCACCGGCAGTGGCCGTGAGCGGGAATCGAACTCGGGTCGCCGGGTTCGTAGCGCTTTGCGCTAACCACTACACTACAATGCGTTACGCTTCCACACACACACAGATATACACACACACAGACACACTGACAGACACACACACAGCGCGCTAACCGCTACACTACAATGCGTTACGCTTCCACATGCGCGGGTCACATGACAGATTTGACGTCACAGCTCACTTGCCGTGCAAAAAATGTTATTGAGCTCCCCCCCCCAAAAAATAAGTATTTTTTATAATTTTTGCATGGTGTACAGTCTGGAAAAGTACCCACATGGCAAAATTCAAGTTTGTGTGAATTACGGGAAGTACGCTAAACACTTTGAACAGACACACATATTCACAACTTTGCCTTTTATATATATGGAGATGGGCCAATCACAGATTTCACAACAGCGGACCATTATTTGCACTTGTAATAGCTGAAATCTCAAATGTATTCCCCTTGTATATTTGCTCAATTTCCAATCAGCTCGTCGCATGTTCAAATGCCAGTCGTGGCTCAAATTAACCTATAATTTATCCGGGGTCACTACAATGGGTATCATGTTGGCCTATGGAGAGACTGATCCCTGCCATAGAAATGTGCAATGGCGGAGCCAGGATTTTCAGGTAGGGGGAGCAACTCCTCCAGCAATGAAAAATGATAGGAGTTGTTAGTAAGGATTTGTCCCTTGCTTTTTATTGGACGCGTGTGCGGCGATGGCACAGCCATCGATCGAAGGTTGAATTCAAACCGTTTGTGATCGGCATCGCGCTCGCTGAAGGTGAATGCCTTCAGGGAAGTCGTGTACTGTATACGCAACTGCGCACAATTCTGAGTCACAACTGCTTTGCCGTTACTTATTGCCAATTATGGACTCAGACTATTATCCTATCATCTCATAGAGTCCCTGGCACATAATATGCTACACAATGGCAGTGGGGGTTGCAAAATGCCGATTTATTACTAATAAACCCCATTGGGGCAGCACGTGCCCCCCGCCCCCCCCCCCCACTCGCTCTGCCAGTGGAAATGTGGAGCTTTCACCTCTGACTCGGTGTAACAAATAGAGATTAGTGCTGTTGCATTGCTTGCTTGAACTGTGAGTAACTTTGACAGTGAGGCCTCCGGGTTAACTCCTCTAGTTGGTTTGAGCCCGAGACGAACCTGTAACATTCCTCCCTTCTCTGACTTAAACACGATCTCCTCTAAACAGGAGATAAGCCAGTGCTTGTACATAAACTAAAACAATATTTAAACTGCACACTATTTTACCAGGCAAGGCCCTCTGAGCTATATAGCTATTTTTCAGAAGCGATCTGGCTACAAATTATAGCTCAACGGAAGTGGCTTATCACGTGCACATTTATAGCAGCCAAATGCTCTAAACGCACGTTCATTCTAAATGTGGAGGGAAAAACCGGAGGAGCCGGAGAAAAATCCACACAACCACAGAGAGAGAGAGAGAGAACATCCAGGGTTGGGATCGAACCCACGACCTCCTTGTATACCAGGTGAGGTAGTTAACATCTCGTCATCGCGGTGTGCAAATCCCCAGTCTACGAGGAAACATCATGGCGCAGTGGAACAAGCTCCAGCAGCTGGACATGAAGTACTTGGAGCTGTTGGACCAGCTCTACAACGAGAGCTTCCCCATGGAGGTGCGGCAGTTTATCGCCCCCTGGATCGAAGGACAGGACTGGTGAGGAGCTCGGTTATGCCAACGCTGCACACTGACGATGGCCCAATGATGACGATGATTACGACAATGATTTACAGCAACCTGGGCCGATTTGCCTTTAAAATCGTATAATTGAAACTCGATAGCTACAATGCTTTTGCAAGTCGGTGATTCGCGTGGGACATGTGGTTCCAGGAGCCATGCAGCGAGCGATCCGTCGCAGGCTTCTCTGCTACTGCATACTCTGCTGAGCCAGCTGGACGTGCAGTATGGACGGTTCTCCTCCGAGCACAACCTGCTTCTGCAGCACAACCTGCGCAAGATAAAACAGAACATTCAGGTGCCTAGCTGAGCCTATGCCCAACTGCAAACACAACTCCATATGCACACACCAACGGTTTACAAGCAGTAAACAGGTATTTGTGCATAAGCCAAGGTCCTAGCTCCGTGTGGACATTTACTTTCAAATAGATGTGTGTGTGTGTATGCTTGTAGGGGAGCGGTAGTGCAACTGTTAGCATGCTGCACTATGAACCCGGGCATCCGAGTTCCATTCCCGCTCACTGCCAACACCAGTGACGGTTTTCTGAATGGGTCCTGGGCCTCCCCTCGGTCGACTCGGCCTCAAATGAGTACCTGGTGTGGTGTGTAAACATCGGCACTAGGGAGACAAAGGTGGCCAGCCGTGGTGCTGGCCACCCATCCCCTCGTGTGCTTTGCCGGCCTTCATAGGTGCTCGCTAACAACACTTGCCCTGTTAAGGCTGTACGAGGGATCTTTGTGTTTGTAGGGAGTGGTGGCATCGTTGTCAGCGCACTGAGCTACAATTCTCCACTCTTGATTCAATCCCTGGGCACGCACACCTTCGCTTACGTAGGGAATATTAACCTGTCCTGTGCCTCCCCTAAGTTGACTCAGCCTTAAAGTAGTGCTTCATTAAATGTGCAAACAACAGTGACAGTACTCACGAACAGGACTTGCCCCCACAGCCGTATAATGCCAAGCAAGTTATCTGTCTCTGTATATATGTGTTCACAGGCAAAGTACCTAGAGAACCCAACCCAGATGGCTTCTCTCATATCTCAGTGCCTGCAGGAGGAGCAGCACATCTTAGATAGAGCGAACAAGGCCCACATGGTGAGTTGAACTTGCGTGCATTCATGCATCACTTGTAAAGGTTGCCGTTATTTTTGCTATTATTTTCCTATTCACTCTTAAACATGTAAATGCAGAGACAATGGTGAATTGCAAAGATTTACCTCCAGGTCACTTCAGTAAAGATTTGTTTCAAAGTTAAAACATTGTAGCATTGTGCGAGTCCATGTTCTCCTGAAATTCCGAATTCCTTTAATGGCGCATGCATTTAACGATGACCACATCACCCCAAAAATGAAATCGCCCTGAATGCACCCGATTTATCTAACCAGCTAATCAGGAACAAGCCTGGTTCTTGCTTGACAGGGAGACTCCCTGGAAATACCAGATGTTGTAGGCTTGGGCTGTGAAGTGGTCAGTAAATAACTATTGAGTACATCGGTGCCAAGCTTTTGCGTGTTATCGCCTCGCATGCATGGGTGTTCTCCAGGTACCTCAATTCACTCCCACAAGTAAAATACTTATTAATAGAAAAGGCCAAACATCCCAAATCAGGATTCTCTGAAACAACCCGAACGACACGGTAAGGCTTTCCTCGGTAAATAAAAAGCATGATTGTGAAAGTGTTTTATGCAACAACTTTACCAGTTTCGCAGCCTATCTAATTGTTTCATAGATGCAATCAAGTGCATCGCACTTCATGAACAGATGGATACTCATGGCTCACCATTACTGGTTACTACCGATTGCGAGTATGGACGTTCGTCCATGGTCATGACACTTTCCTTGTCTCTGCCACAGGGTGCTGAAGGTCAGCAGTATCGACCTCAGAGCTCCATCCAGTCCGAGAAGCAGAAGAACCTGGAACTAACCATCGCAGAGGTCAAGAAACGCGTGCAGGTATAACACCTGTGGAGAGTGGTGCTGTAACTCATTCCTGCGGAGGGAGCTGGTAGGAACGTTGGGTTGCTGGGTCAATGGCCAGGGTCAACGGCGGCACCACGTGGTGTATTCCGCAAATATGCCCGTCTGTGAGGGCGGGCACAAGCCGGCGTGAGTAGGTTAAACATTGAGTTTTATAAGGACACCACGGGGTGACCAGCCCCTCCCCACCCAGCCCCACCCCTCCCAGCCCCACCCAGCCCCTCCCCACCAAGCCCCACCCTCTCCACCCAGCCCCTCCCTTCCTACCCAGCCTCTTCCCACCCTCCCCTCTCCACCCAGCCCCACCCCTCCCATTTTTGGATGCACGACGGCCGAACACAATAATCCCCTGTGGCCTGGTGGTGTAACCAGTAGGTTTCCACCAGTAAAACTAGGCTTATATGGAGCCCGAGTGAATGGATCAGTCGAGACACGATGATGATGATGTTACTGCACGGATGTGCACCTGCATATCTATATATATAAAAGGGAAATTTGTGAATATGTGTGTCTGTTCGAAATGTTTAGCGTACTTCCCGACATGCAACAAACTTGACATTTGGCATGTGGGTAGCTTCCAGACTGTAGACAATGCATAAAGTATAAAAATAGAGTTTTGTATTTTGGGGGGCGGGGCGCAATAATGGATGTATTTTGCACGGCAAGTGAGCGGTGACGTCACATCTGTGATGTCACCCGTATGTGGCAGCGTCACGCAGTGTGCCTGCTGACGTCACGCTTACCCCCCCACCCCCAACCCTCCGCGTCGGCCGTGTATTAATCCAAGGCAAGAATCCAAGTCCCGGGCGAAGCTGGGTAGTAAAGCTAGTGAGAAATCAGATGGAAACATATAGTGTGAATGTGTAGTGAGCTCATAAAAAGACATAATAGTCGTAAACTATTGGGATGCTGTTGGCGAACAGTAAACCTAGTGATATCTCTTCATAGGAGATTAATGAGTTATAAGAGTTCTCAAATTACATTTGTAGAAAATGTGGTTTAGTCAAATAAATGGTACTGCACTATATATGTATTCATATGTTGTTTTGTGCCTTCAGGTAACAGAGCAAAATATCAAATCCCTGGAAAATTGTCAGGATGAGTTTGACTTCCGCTACAAAGACTTTCAGACCAAAGGTGAGGACAAATGTTCTCAAAACGTGGTCATTTGCCTGCATTTTTGTATCAGCTACTGGGCTGTTTTTTTTACCACTGTTCTATTTTCTTATTCTTTCGGTGGGGCTTTTAACAACATTTTTCAGTCTTAAGTCTCTTACAAATTGACTTCTAGATGAAAAATGTAACCAGTTTTGTCTTTTGTTTTTTAAACTGTCCACTTTCAAAGTGCATTTGCATATTTTATATTGTGTGTGTTTGATTTGATTGAACACGTGGCTGAATTCTTGTGTCACCACAGACGGTCCAGAGAGCAATAGCGCCAGTCTCTTGTCAAAACAGCAGCCGTCGCCACAGAACGGCAAGCCCAACGGGCAGGGGGACTCCAAGAAGCAGATGGCACGGCTGCAGGTGATGCTGCAGAACCTGGACCAGAATCGCAAGGTGCGGGACCCTACAGCAAAACGTGTCGCGGCAATCTTGGTCTCCACGTCGGGGACACAGAGTGATCTGGTTCTGGGTTTGACCACATAGGCGCTCTGCAATTGTGGTAAATCTGCACATTCGTATCAAGCCACGCGTATCCATTGCGGTGGGTTGCGATTTGGTGTTTTAATTATGGGGAGCGGTCGAGTTAAAACCCCGATCACGGTCAACATTGCTAAATTACAGAGATGCCCCGTATATATATCTCTACCCATTCAGGGCCTCCCCCCTAAGTTAACTTAGCCTGAAATGAGTGATTGTGTGATGTTTAAACATCGCCACCAGGGAATCAAAGGGGGTCGGGGGTGTGGTTCTGACCACCCAGCCCTTCGTGTGCCGTGCCGGCCTTCGTAGGTGCTCACTAACAGGACTCGCCCCAGCAATCCGTTGACTCCTTCAGGGGATCTTTTGTCTCTTGTGCGACACAGCAAATCTTGCAATCGATGACAGAGCTGCTGGCCATCGCCGACTATGTCCACAACAAGCCGCTGCTGGAAGAGCTGAACGAGTGGAAGCGGAGGCAACAGCTCGGTTGCATCGGCGGCCCACCCAACATCTGCCTCGACCACCTGGAGAAGTGGTACACACCCTCCCACTCGCCCTCTTGCCAAGTCGCACGTGCCCGCTTGCCGCATGATGCCTGCTTTTCCCCACCTGAATTGCACAATGATCAGGTTAATAAATCTGGCCAGGTAGCTCAGCGGTTCGCGTTGAGTGGCTCGCAATGGTGAGGTTGCAAGTTCAGTTCCCGCCCCGGGGGGTTGACTCGGCCCATAAACCCTCCGCGGTCGGTTAAAGTAAGTACCAATTGTGTGGTTGTCCTAGATTTGAAGCTTTCGTGACTGCAAGGATTCATACTCTTTGTTTTTTTCGGTAAAGTCACGGAGGTAAAATAAAATAAAACAACTAAATTAAATCACGACGTTTCGGAGGCAACACAAGCTTCCGTCTTCAGGTGGGGAGCTCAAGAGCTCTCCACCTGATACAGCGATTCTGCCGTGACTGTTCCACCTGAAGACGGAAGCTTGTGTTGCCTCCGAAACGTCGTGATTTAATTTAGTTGTTTTATTTTATTTTACCTACGTGATTTTACCGAAAAAACCAAAGAGTAGTGGTTGTCCTGTAGATAGAACCGCCTCCACCGTAGGAATGCGGAATTTGTAAACAGGAGATGATCACCACCCTAATGTTAATTAGAACAGGAAAGCACCGTGATTTTGAACTGACGGTGTCTTACCCAAGAAATTATATTTGTAGGTAGATTACAGTGGCAGTGAGGTTGCACTCTGCAAGCACTTCACTTGATTTTCTCTGAAGGGGATGCTTCTTGTGCTGCTTGGCCAGGCAGCACCAGTGGTCGGGGATGTTGTGTCGTAAAATCTCATCTCTGGGAGCCTACAGTAAGATATTTTTTTTTTGCTCTCGAAATACCGATACAAATACAGATTTTCATAAACGAGTCTTAAAATACTCCAGAGCTGTGAACTTTCAGTTTTCAGGTCGCACACCTGTTCTATATCATGCACACGTTTCACAAGCAAACTCCTGCCGGTAAATACTGTTGATGTGGCTAGGATGAGTTTTCTCCAAGAGCTGCGGTTATTTCCCACAAGCCAACTTGTTCATGGTATTGGTCAAATATCCAAATGCAAGAAGAGCCTTCTAAAATGATTCTTGAGACTGGTTGAAGTGTTTCTTATTAACTACCTTGCCTGTTATACAGGAGGTCGTGGGTTCGATCCCGACCCTGAATGTATATTTGGAGTTTGCTTATTTTCCCGTGGGTGTGTGGATTTTTTCCGGGTCCTCCGATTTTTCCCTCCACATTTAGAATCAACATGCATTCAAGAGTATTTGGCCGTAATAAATTTCCACGTGGTTAAGCCACTTCGTTGAGCAATCATTTGTCTGTAAATACACATTTTGAATTCCAATAATGTGTGACAATTCAATGGATTAGAATACATCACAAAAAGTGTCCCTCCGGCTTTTCATTGTAGGCACAAGTGCTGTTCACGCGCATCACACCCATCATTCCCTGTCTCCCCAGTACTACAGTTAAAAAGCTGCACAAACTGTTTATTTTGAGGCTGTATGTATGTTGAATTTCTTTCGCACCATATGTAGCCAACCGTGCTAATCGGAGGCGCCATGGCTGAGTTGTTTTAAGCTAGTCATGAACAGGTTGACTCCCGTATCTGGCACTGACGGTCGAAAAGTCATTGACAAGGTTTGAAGTAAAAAAAAAACATTATTTCCATTCATCATCTTAATTGTAGATTTGTTTTTCATTGTGCGCTCTTAAATATATGTAATTGTTATTATCGTGACACGCTAAGACATATCTAACTCTGTGCTCTATGGTTACCTGGCTATGCCCTTACACACTCCTGACCAGCTGGCTCAAAAACTCTGTAAATGGATACGCAACTGAGAAATGAACCTAGCTCACCTGGATTCTACAAATCGCTGTTCCTCCACTCCCCTCATAAAAATGCACGTAATCATCCCTGCATAAACCCGCTGTCCTTTTCCAGCCATATGAACAGAACTTTGTTTTAATTAACTATTGCTCATTACAATGCTAACGCGTGACAAAGCAGCTACATTAGGGTTATACCTAAACTATACACAGTAGTGGGGAACTATAAACCCTGCTGGATTTAGATTTCACGGAAAAGTAAACAAATATAGGTTATAGGTTGCTATGCCCTTAAACACGTGGTGGTGTACCTTGCTGAGGAAGGTTGCCCAACTGGTTTTCATGTTACTCCCAAAACCCTGGGAATGCAAATAAATGCAATTCAACAGGTTTGTCCGTCTGATGAAGTGAGTTGTAATGACTGGCGACACATCGTACTCTGGATTGTAAATGTTGTGGATTTGCTGTCCAACACACCGGCGTGCTGTAGTAGTAACGAATTGGCATGTTCTGTTTACGTGACAAATCTTACTAATTGGCTTTGTCGGGTGGTGACGGGTTTAATGACACATTTATATTTACACGATCTAATCCAAATAAAAACCTGTTATAGATGATATTGGTCGCGAAAGCCTACGTATTAAACTATATACACTTAGTGCATCTTCTAAAATGCTTATCTGTAAGATTTAGAGGCATCACTTTCACAAAATTCAATCACCTGTTGAGAAGAAAGTAAGAGGATCAGTGGAGTATATATAAATGAATTGTCCTGTGTGTTTGATACATGTGGAGGAACAACCTTAAACGTTTCCTGGCAGCGCATTGAGAGCATTGTGTTGCACAGTGACGAGGTCTGAAAACACACCTTGTGTGTGCGTGCGTGGGGGATCGTTGTCTTTGTTGTGTGCGCGCATTATAGGTACACCGAGCTGGCAGAGGCACTGCTGCAGGTGCTGAGGCAGCTCAGGAAGCTGGAGGAGCTGCAGCAGAAGGTGACCTACAAAGGGGACCCCATTGTGTCATACAAGGGCGACTTGGAGGAAAAGACCAGCAACCTGCTGCAGGCTCTCTTCAACAAGTACGCACCACATGCTGTTACAGGCTCGAAACCCATAACCACACTGCGTGTATTTCAAGCCATGCGTATTGAACAAAATATATATTTTTTGCTATTTCATCAGAAGAATTACCTGCTTCTATTATTTCGCACATCAGTCACGTGATCAGAATATTGATTTATACTGGAGGAATCCGATGAGCTGTAAAGCTCTTTTTCACATGTCCAGCAAAGACAGCTGAAGCAATACAACCTCACAAGGGTTTTAGTATTTCTTTTTAAGGATCCTGGATTTTTTTTGTTAACGAAATCATTATGAACCCACTGCTGGATGAAGGTCTCCCCATGTTTGTGCCATTGCCTCTCGATCTTGCAATGTCGTCATCCATCTTGTACCTGCACATTAGCTCATCTCATCGCCCCAACCCTTGTGGTGGTCACACATTGCTGTGTATGACTTTTGCTTTTTATTTATTTCATCAAATATAAAAGCGTTACCAAATTATGTATTGAATGAATACTTTAATGCATGGAACCTGGTCTCCTGATAACAAGGTTCAATCCACAACGTGTTGCAGCAATGTCTTTATATTTGTGTAGTGGGTTCTACGGAGACGCACACTAGAACTTGGAGGCAACACGTTTATTATAACACCCCAACTAGACCACAACGGGGTAACTACATAACCGGGTCAGTGAGTAACACACTGCCTGACCCACGTTGCCGAGCGTAAAGACCGAGGATCGAGGATTGAAGAGACGTAGCACCGACGGGTTCCATTCCAACAGACAGCCCGGATCGGCTCTCGGGACTTGCCTTTTATGCCTCTGAGCGTGGCCTAGCTCCGCTCTTGGCCACGCCCCCTTCTAGATCCTACGAGAAGGCTCTGGGCTATATATCACGTGTCCCTCTTGCCACCCTTTGGCCCCGCTCACTACCCTCTCCTGTCACGTGCCCTCTCGGGTTCACCGAGACTGTCACGTCCTCAACTGCCCTCTCTCTGACCGTCACCAGAACCATCCCCCCTAGGGCCCGCTTGCATGCCATACCTCTACTCTGGTGCCAGAGAGAGGCTCAACACGCACAGTTCCAATCCCCGTGACAGTATCTGGCGCTAAACGCCATAGTGACTCCATTTACGTCACTACACTTGTGAGTGGTGATGCAGTGGTTAGCGCACTACACTCTGAATCCAGTGTCTAAGTTAGATTTCCGGCCACGTCTAATATCAGTGGCGAGTGATATCTGAACCTCCCTTCACCAACCCATACTGACCAGCATGGTGAAATATGGTCAAATGACCCCTAAAATTGACATCCCATGGGGAAGCCTTAATCCACCAGTAGATTGACAAGGGACTTATTATTATTAACAATTATTACAGTACCATATTGCACCATACCCAAGCAAGCTTGTGCACAGTAAACAAAAAAAAAACTAACACATGAACGTCTTAAATGGCCATAAGATTATCCTGAGAGCTAATTATTTAGGTCTCGTTTCTATGGCCTCTGCTGGTTGTGCGGTAAAGCACTGAACACTTACGTGCACAGCCATTGCTGCAATTAAACCTGCAGCAATGATTGGACAGTAACTCCTGGTTGAAATTGTCCAAAGCCTTGAACTTCATATCGCCTGCAATAAAGCACACGATTACTGGTTCTGTGTTTTTTTTAATGCTCGAAGAAGAAAACAACATTATTTTAACCTTTCACAAATGGAACATATATTTCTAGATTATCCACTACTCTAGAAACAAACAGGAGAGGTTTACCACTTTGATAAAGGTGTTGTTACTTTCATATTGATAATGAAGTACCATGCAACTCACACCGCGTTAGTTTAACACACAGGCTTTTGCGACCAATATCCATAAATAGTTTTTTTTTGGGTTAGATCGCGTTACTAAATCATATCCTTCAGAACTTGTGCAATGGGTGTCATTTTCCTGCTGTTACAGTCTCGCCATGCGGCAGCTGATTTATACTAGCTGTTGGGTATAGTCTGCGGGAGGGTAGGTTCTCATGTTACTCTGTTGCTCATCTGTCTCACTTGTGTGACTGTCCACCCACGTGAATGACCTCAGTGCCTTCGTGGTGGAGTGCCAACCGTGCATGCCCACGCACCCACAGAGGCCGCTGGTGATCAAGACGAGTGTGCAGTTCACCGCCAAGATCAGGTGCGTGCATCGCACACGGTGATATTTTCCAGCAGAGCTCCGGCAACGCGGCTGGTACGCAACATAATGTCCACGGTTCTAAGCTGATACCGCATGCGCGTTGCTCCTTGCTGTTACAGGCTCCTCGTGAAGCTGTCCGAGTTGAACTACCAGTTGAAGGTTAAGGCATCCATTGACAAGTGAGTGATGCTTTCTGTAGTATCGGTCCCATTTTGGCCTCCATGTCCCCTAAAAGGGGTTCCCATTCAATTAAACTAATGCAGTGCATCTTCTTTGGTTCTTTCGGTAAAGTCACGTAGAATGAGAATAAAATAATAAATTGATAAAATAAAACAACACATTAAATCGAAATTTAATGCAGTGCATGTTTTAAAATGAAAACAGCAACTCTTGTCGGTTTGACAGGTGTTAATCAAGACTAACCTCGTGTATTTTTTTGCATTTTCTGCCGTCATCAGGGATATTGGCGATAAGCCTCCAGTCAAGGGGTGAGTGCCTGAATTCCATCTCTTTAGATTTGTTTAATGTTCTGACATTGTGCATATTATTAGCAAAACATTTGAATCTGTCATATCACACAGCATCTTGGGCTATGTGATAATTAATTCCAAAAACAAACAAGACTAAGTATACCATCAGTCCTTAAAGTCAGTTACTCTCAGACCACCCAGTGACCTCAATTACCTGCAATATAACGATGCATAAAATATAAAATATCACTATTTAGTTGACAAAGTACTCCGAGTCCATCACATCTTGTGCAATGTGAGCCATTGCATCTTGTGCAAGGACAGCTGCAGCCAGTGTCGAGGACTAAAGTCACCATGTGTCCCACCAACCCTAGCTTCCGTCGCTTCAACATCCTGGGCACCAACACCAAGGTGATGAACATGGAGGAGTGCAACAGTGGCAGCCTCGCGGTGGAGTTCCGCCACCTGGTGAGCTCCTCACACGGCACACGTTCACAACGTGAGTGGTCACTGTACCTGGCAGTCAGCCACAGCTCACCGCTACAGCTGCCTGGTGATGTATGTATGTTGAACATTTCACAGCGTACGGAGACGACCGTGCGAATTGTTGAAGGACAACAAACTAAACACAAAAAACAATTCTAAAGAAATGAGTTTTCAATTTAGATTAAAAGTATATATCTCCAGTGGATTACTAATATCGAATGTAAGATTGTTCTAGACGTCCACAGAAGCACATCTGAAAGCGCGTGATGCACACTGGCGGAGCCAGTTGGGGGGGTGGGGTGGCACGTGTAGCATATTATTATGTGCCAGGGACTTTATGAGATGATAGGACAATAGTCTGAGTCCATAATTGGCAATAAGTAACGGCAAAGCAGATGTAATAAGTAACTCAGAATTGTGCGCAGTTGCGTATACAGTACACGACTTCTCTGAAGGCATCGACACCTTCAGCGAGCGCGATGCCGATCACACAACGCGGTTCAAATTCGACCCTCGAACGACGGCTGCGCCATCGCCGCACACGCGTCGAATAAAAAGCAAGGGACAAGTCCTTACTAACAACTCCTATAATTTTTAATTGCTGGAGGGGTTGCCCCCCCCCTCCCCCGACAATCCTGGCTCCGCCATTGGTGATGCAGTGACCGTCTTTGTTCGATGGCTAGGTTTATGCTCCTTGCCGAGATCAGCAAGGTATTGTGGTTCATTTGTGGCAAGCGTGATGTTACAAAGCATAAGAGCAAGGTGCCCTGCAGTAAAGTTGATGTGCAAGACCCTGCAATGTCATGCACAAGCATTGCCAGAAGAGTACCGGTGTCATAGCCAAAATACTGAATTTGAAAATCGCCTGCACACATGTATATAAAATATTTCTTCCCATGCATGGGCTAAATTTCCCTATTGTTAAAGATATATTTGATCTCAATGGGCTCTCACCTGAATCGAAGTAAGTCAAACTGAATTAAACCTCTGCATTGCAGTAGCAGTAACATGATAATTGTACCGCAAGCAGCTCTTTGTTGAGTGTTTCCCTGGCAGTGCACTAGACGATGTCAATGTGCTCAGGCAAGGTTCACCTAACACCTCCTTACCACTGTCATACTGCGGTGGAGCAGCGGTGACACATATGTACATACATAGTCGCCTCTTACTTAAACCGATTGATGATAACCCCCCCCCTCCGCCTGTTCTACTGCTTTTGAATAATCATAGTTTAAAATAACTGTTCAAAAGGAGTCTTTGCAGGAAAAGATTTACTTTAGCAACGAGGTGTGCGTGCTTGCGCGCGCGTGTCTTCTGCAGCAAGTACGAGAACAGCGCACGCAAGCAGGAGGCAGGAACGAGGTGAGGTTCCTTTACTGCACCCCTTGCCGGGGGATCAACAGTGCCCCACTTCTGATGGACTCAATGCGCACTCTTGATAATTCAGCATGTCACCCAATAGATTTGCGAGCTCATGTAAGTACAGTGAGGGAAAAAAGTATTTGATCCCCTGCTGATTTTGTACGTTTGCCCACCGACAAAGAAATGATCAGTCTTTAATTTTAATGGTAGGTTTATTTGAACAGTGAGAGACAGAATAACAACAACAAAATCCGGGAAAATGCATGTCAAAAATGTTATAAATTGATTTGCATTTTAATGAGGGAAATAAGTATTTGACCCCCTCTCAATCAGAAATATTTCTGGCTCCCAGGTGTCTTTTATACAGGTAACGAGCTGAGATTAGGAGCACACTCTTAAAGGGAGTGCTCCTAACCTCAGCTTGTTACCTGTATAAAAGACACCTGTCCACAGAAGCAATCAATCAATCAGATTCCAAACTCTCCACCATGGCCAAGACCAAAGAACTCTCCAAAGATGTCAGGGACACGATTGTAGACCTAGACAAGGCTGGAACGGGCTACAAGACCATTGCCAAGCAGCTTGGTGAGAAAGTGACAACAGTTGGTGCGATTATTCGCAAATGGAAGAAACACAAAAGAACTGTCAATCTCCCTCGGCCTGGGGCTCCATGCAAGATCTCACCTCGTGGAGTTGCAATGATCATGAGAACGGTCAGGAATCAGCCCAGAACTACACGGGAGGATCTTGTCAATGATCTCAAGGCAGCTGGGACCATAGTCACCAAGAAAACAATTGGTGACACACTACGCCGTGAAGGACTGAAATCCTGCAGCGTCCGCAAGGTCCCCCTGCTCAAGAAAGCACATATACATGCCCGTCTGAAGTTTGCCAATGAACATCTGAATGATTCAGAGGACAACTGGGTGAAAGTGTTGTGATCAGATGAGACCAAAATGGAGCTCTTTGGCATCAACTCAACTCGCCGTGTTTGGAGGAGGAGGAATGCTGTCTATGACCCCAAGAACACCATCCCCGCCGTCAAACATGGAGGTGGAAACATGCTTTGGGGGTGTTTTTCTGATAAGGGGACAGGACAACTTAACCGCATCAAAGGGACGATGGACGGGGCCATGTACCGTCAAATCTTGGGTGAGAACCTCCTTCCCTCAGCCAGGGCATTGAAAATGGGTCGTGGATGGGTATTCCAGCATAACAATGACCCAAACACACACGGCCAAGGCAACAAAGGAGTGGCTCAAGAAGAAGCACATTAAGGTCCTGGAGTGGCCTAGCCAGTCTCCAGACCTTAATCCCATAGAAAATATGTGGAGGGAGCTGAAGGTTTGAGTTGCCAAACGTCAGCCTCGAAACCTTAATGACTTGGAGAAGATCTGCAAAGAGGAGTGGGATAAAATCCCCCCTGAGATGTGTGCAAACCTGGTGGCCAACTACAAGAAACGTCTGATCTCTGTGATTGCCAACATGGGATTTGCCACCAAGTACTAAGTCATGTTTTGCAGAGGGGTCATAAAAATGCAAATCAATTTATAACATTTTTGACATGCGTTTTTCTGGATTTTTTTTGTTGTTATTCTGTCTCTCACTGTTCAAATAAACCTACCATTAAAATTATAGACTGATCATTTCTTTGTCAGTGGGCAAACGTACAAAATCAGCAGGGGATCAAATACTTTATTCCCTCACTGTAGTAACATCGCGAGGTGCCCATTAATTTCCATGGAATAGTTAATTCCGGGTTGGGAGATGAAAGAAAACAGCATGGATTTCAGGGTCAATGTGAGGAGGAGGAAAACGTTGGTTGAGTGTCTGATGTGCATGTCAAAGTAGCATGGTGACGTAGTAGGGAGCACAGGTGATGCATCTGCAAAGTCACCGTAGTCTGCTGACCCATAATACCTGTGTGTTCACCTGTCAGACTATTCCACATACTCCCAAAGTACAACTAGCTAGGCACTAAATCTGTGGTGATATCACCTTCACTTTGTGGTGTCAAATTTTAATGTATTGTGCTACATTCGCCATTATCCAGATTCGAATCCTGTATTCGTTACCTCTCTGAGTCGGACTGCGGCTAAATATTTGTTCTTGGTAGTGTGCCAACAATTTGTGACACTTGGGAGGCAAAGGCAATCATGACAATGATGTCTCCACCATTGTCACAGGGCATCTTAACCATATCAGGTTATTGATAATCAGCACTTGGCCTGCAAGTGTAAGGTGGCTTAGAATGTATTCTTTGTGTGTGTGTGCAGGGATCACTGATAGTGACGGAAGAGCTCCACCTCATCAGCTTTGAGACGCAATTTTACCACCAGAGCCTCAAGATGGACCTGGAGGTAGCTGTCCCACGTGCAGTGACAAGATTATTGGTTGGAGTTTAGATTAGAGTGGTAAAACATAACTACTTCAGGTTTAGTAATTTCAGTGGAGTCCTATCACCAACAATACAATTTGGATAGCCATCACATCTAAATGCAACTACATCTGAAGTCCGTGCAAAATATTAACAGATTGTTTAAACATATGGGATGATATAATGGATACACATTTACATTCCTGGCTAATATTAGTGTTGTTTTTTTGTATCTGTGAATAACATTGGGGTTTTTGCGTTGTTTGTAATATCAAACGCGAACATGAATGTTTTGGAGTCTGGCTTTAGAGCTTGGCATTTGTTATTTCTTTCCGCACCTTCGATTAGCACGGTTGGCTATGTACGGTGCAAAAGAAGTTCAACAAAAATACTTTCATAAATGGGTTTAGAGGGCGTGATACTGCAGATGTCATCTCTTCTGAAAGTCAGTGTGATGTAAGTGCTTGCATTGTCACGGCAATATCTTTGCAGCTTGATTGTGCATCACAGTGCGTGCATTTTGTGTGCGGTGCTTTCGTCTAACACAGACGACGTCTCTGCCTGTCATTGTCATCTCCAACGTGAGCCAACTGCCCAATGGCTGGGCGTCCATCCTGTGGTACAACATGCTCACCAACGAGCAGAAGGTGAGACTACACGCGCACAATGTTCTGGGTGGATGGGGCAGGGCAGGGCGATATTTTATACTACGTTTCTAAATTCTAGTGCTTGGAGAAATTAAATGAAGGCAATAGCCCTCTATTGTAAAAAAAAAATCAAACTTACAATGCATTTTTTTGTATCTATATGTATGTTGAACTTCCTTCGCACGGTATGTAGCCAATGGTTATAATCGGAGGTGCAGGTATATAAAGTGTCTGGCATTAATATTGGTTGAAATATAATTATCTCTGCTAGATTGTACGATTAGAAAGGTACTTCCAAAGCATTGTATTGAATGTGTTTGTGTTGCGCTAATTAAAGTCGTGTCCATTACGTACATGTCAGGATAACGAGGAGTGTGGCGCCACGTCTCTGTCTCTGCCACAGAACCTGTCCCTGTTCCTGAACCCACCGGCAGCGAGCTGGAGCCTGCTCTCCGACGTGCTCAGCTGGCAGTTCTCGTGCGTCACCTCCAGAGGCCTCAACCCACAGCAGCTCGTCACGCTCGCCGAGAAGCTGCTCGGTGGGTCCAGCGCGTGTTCCCCCCCGCCAGCGGCGCGGCCGGACTTAGGGCCCGCTGTAGGGTCAGCGGTGGTGACGCAGCGCTGCGTTTAAAGGGTGCATCGATCCCATCGGTTTAACATCGATTCTCAATTGTCATATCAGGGCTCTACGACACGTTTCACCGCTATTGAGTCGTGACATAGCCAACACGGTCGCGTGTAGCATCGTATCGACAAGCCTCGGTTATTGCAACTCACTACTCTACGGGACGTCTGGCAAAACCATTACCAAGCTGCAGTGTGTACAAAATGATTTGGCACGTGTCGGTGCTGTGTCCATCCATTGCTCGCCGAGCTGCATTATCTTCCAGTTGCCAAACGAATACATGATCAGGTAGCACTCGTTACACACAAAGTGCTTGCCACAAATGAACCACAATGCCTTGCTGATCTTGTCGAGGACCATACACCATCACGCGAACTCCGGCTTTTGGCTAGCCATTGAACAAAGACAGTTACTGCATCGCGCGCTTTCAGATGCACTTCCGTGGCCGTCTGGAACGCTCTTCCTTCAGATATTAGGAAGTTATGCACTTTTAAATCCAAAAATAATTTCTTTAGAACTGATTTTTGCGTTTAGTTTGTTGTCCTTCCCCCGCACCTCCGAATACCGTAGTCGGCTATGTATGATGCGAAAGAAGTTCAACTTAGAGGGCCCGCATTAGGGTCAGCGGTAGGGACGCGGCGCTGTGTGGAGAGTCGTAAGCATTTAAAGAGTGCATCGATCCATCGGTTAAAATTGATTCTCACGTACACGGTTCACACGTGGATCATCCATGTGAGAATCGATCGCATTCAACTTATGCAAATAACATACAAATGATATGCGAAAGTTATACCTGCGCTGATGAAGCAAACTAAAATACAGAAAGATGCACGGTACTCGACTTGTGTTTAGTAAAAAGTCAGCGTCTCCTTGCTCAAGCAAGCATTTGGCAGTACTCATCTCTGTTGACAGGCCTCACCCAAATTTTGATTTAAAGCTTTCGTGACTGCAGTAATTCATATTCTTAGTTTTTTCGGTAAAGTCACGTTGAAGAGAAACAACAAAATAACAAAATATATATAAAACAATAAAAAATTCTCACGACGTTTCGACCATAACTCAAACGGTCATCATCAGGTGTGTCGGTTTGCATAAATTTACTAGATCAGTTAGACAAGACACTCTACAAATCACACTTATCATTGACGGCAATAATGTCCACATCGGATTGGGAACATGTAGACAATATGACTGCCTCTTCAGCTGCTACTATGTCGACCAAATGTAAGGAAAACCTGATTTCCAAATTTAACCTCCTCTTAAACAAAAGACCGGACCCACACACCAAAAAGTTAGACGTTAATAAAGTCGTAATTAATCGCAGTAACAGTTCTATTTCCGATGGTCTGAAATCCGTTTTAGCTAAAGGTCTAAACTTTGCAGTCACACCTAAACACATACCAGTTAATGATATAATTGCCCAAGTAGACGTTGCTCTCAGGGGCCTGGGTCACATCGCTGCAGACGTAGCAAGATCCGAAATCGCTGCAACCCTCAAAAACGCTAAGATGCCAGCTAGCAACCTCAGCAAAGATGAGCGTTTTGAATTATATAAATTAAAAAAGAGGAATGATATTGTAGTTCTCTCAGCTGACAAAGGCAATGCTACTGTTATCATGGATAAAATAGAATACAACAACAAAATTAAAGAATTACTCGACGATGGTAGTTATACAAAAATAAAAAGAGATCCCACCAACAGCCTCGTCACACAAACCAACAAAATAATTTCTGATTCAACCGCATTAATTGATCAATCTAAACAGTTTTTGTTGAAACCTTCTGCTGCCAGGCCACCAAGATTATACGGCTTACCAAAAATACATAAAGTTGATACACCTCTTCGTCCCATAGTCTCTACTATCAGCTCCCCCACCTACAAACTAGCTCGTTTTTTGTCTGAAATCCTGCGTCCTTTCACTGGAAAGACCACCTCTGCGGTACAAAATTCTACTCACCTGGTATCAACAATCAAGGGTATTTCCCTGTCCCCAGACGACCTGCTTGTCAGTTTTGATGTAGTTTCCTTATTCACCAAGGTTCCTGTACCTGACACCATTGCAATCATTGAAGACTTGGTTCATCAAGGACTAAACACTGAGGTACCCCCCCTGGTGAGACACTGTTTAACCAATACATACTTCACTTGGAATGGAACTTTCTACAAACAAACTGAGGGCACCCCAATGGGCTCCCCCCTTTCTCCAGTTATAGCTAACATTTTCATGGAGAAATTTGAGACTGACGCCATCCAGACTGCCACTCTGCGCCCAACCTTATGGAAGAGGTACGTGGATGACACTTTTGTCATCTGGCCACATGGCCGGCCTGCTCTAGACCAATTCTTCGACCACATCAATTCCATACACCCAGCCATCAGATTTACCATGGAAGTCGAAATAGATGGCAAGATACCTTTTTTGGATGTCCTAATTAAAAAGAGACCTGATGGTTCAATGAGCCACTCTGTCTACAGGAAAGCTACCCATACGGATGCTTATCTGAAACCGGATTCCCACCACCATCCATCACAGAAGAATTCTCTCATCAAGACTCTGTATCATAGAGCCCAATGCATATCCGACCAGGAACACATAAGCAGTGAACTCAAGCACGTACACCAAGCTCTTAGGGCTAATGGTTACTCCGACTATACAATCCGCAAAGCTATCACTCAAACCATGAAGAAGAACCCTCTTGAGGAGCCTTTCAAAACCATCACTTTACCCTACATTGCTGGGATCACAAAAAAGATCTCCAAAATCTTGAATAAACACAAGATCCAGGTCCGTTTCAACACATTACATAAAATCCGTGATCTGGTTCCGTCTGTAAAAGATGTGATTCCGGACATACAATACCCTGGTGTCTACAAACTAAGTTGCCTCTGTGGTAGTAGTTACATTGGAGAAACCAAACGCCATATCTCGGACCGCATTCGTGAACATAAAGCAGACCTTAAACACGGTAGGACCAACACCTCGGCCGTAGCAGATCATTGTTCTAATTCAGTAGGCTCACATGCCATTGACTTTTCCAAGACGGAGGTTCTTTGTAAGCCATCTGGCTTCCATGAGAGATTCGTTCATGAGGCTATCCACATATACAAACACAGAGACAATTTCAACCGAGAAGATGGATTCTATCTTAGCAATCATTGGAAAGATTTGATAAATCATTTCAGTTCTTGATTGATTGTTCACGCTTACAGTGCCTTTCAGACAGCATACATAAAAACAAATTTCGTCTCCCCCCTCCTCTTTTCAAAAAAAAAAAAAAATAGATGGACTAGTCCTGGCAAACTGCCATCGTTACGCGTGACGCAAACGTTATTTTTATATATATAAATAAATATGCCGTTTTCAAAATAAATTTATGCAAACCGACACACCTGATGATGACCGTTTGAGTTATGGTCGAAACGTCGTGAGAATTTTTTATTGTTTTATATATATTTTGTTATTTTGTTGTTTCTCTTCAACGTGACTTTACCGAAAAAACTAAGAATAGGCCTCACCCAGTTATGGTAATTTTGCTATGGTGGGAACCAGTCTCTCCATAGGATGATCAATGTTGACTTCCCATTAAGTGATGTGAATTTATTGACACCTGGGAAGGATGATGGGCTGAATTGACCTGCAACAAAAAAATCTTATTTCATAATTCAAACTCTAGGATAGACTTCTGGGATGTCACGGTATGTCTGTACCACTTGTGTTTTTGGTGATTAAAAAAAAATAACTGCTGTTTGAAATATGGTGGCAGATAATTATTTATAATGGCATAGCTTCTACTGTGACGATAACTGACCGTGTCTATGGCTCGACATTGTTCCAGGTCTCACTACAAACTACAAGGAGTGCCAGGTGCCCTGGGCTAAGTTCTGCAAGGTGAGATCAGCAGCTCTCACTGGTAGCAGGTTCTAGCTTAATAAAGTGATAAATATAAAAGGGCAGAGAATATGCCTCAACATATCTGTCTCGCCACATAAAACGCAAAAGTATTTATCCACATCCCATCAGCCACACATTCCCCAGGGAGTGCGTAATATCAGCAGCCATTGATTAAACACGAGAAAAATTTGGACTGGTTTGACATTGAGTGTCTCATCAGCAGTCCAGCTTGCTTGAACCAATTCTGGTGAGCTGCCAGATGTTTTAAAGTCAAGGACCCCCTCTCTTTTGGCGTCATCTGGTCCAACACCAGTGGAGACTAGGCTCTAAGAAAAGCCGTCTCGGGTGTGGACCAATCAATTTCAAGGACAGTGCCTTTATCATTATCAGAGTTGTCTCTTTTTGTTTGCATTTTGACTGCTTGTGTTGTGGTTATTGCAAACATAATCCCTTGTATAAAGGTGTCAGTTTTGGTGCCAGATAAAAGGGTAAAAACCTATTACTACTACTGAGTCTGAATCGCTTTACTGCCATTCCGTGTGTACGTGGAGTGCAGGAGAACATGCCCGAGAAGCAGTTTTCGTTTTGGCTGTGGCTGGATGGGATCATTGAACTCATAAAGAAGCACCTTCTGCCCATCTGGAATGAAGGGTAATGTGTGAAACGGAGGCAACAATTCACCTATTATTCCTGCCCCACTTACCTCACCGGTACACCTCGCTTTTCCATCAGCAATCGATTCTCTCCCCAACACTAAGCCTCCGCATTACTCGCTCTTTCATAACCACACTCGCCCTCTTCATAGCACTCAGTCTTTCCGTGCTAGTCACCCACTTCACACCATGAACGCTGTGGGCTTCCAATAGGCTGAATCGGCCACGTGCAGTGCAGTTGACAAAAAAACAGTTGGGCCACACATGCGTGGTGCTTGCCACGCTCGCCTTGTTGGACACTCGCTCATGGTGCCTGCCCAAGGGGCAAGCTGATGCTAAACGGGCGAGCCTTGTCTTTGTCTGCGCACACACCAGGTACATCATGGGCTTTGTGAGCAAGGACACGGAAAAGTCCCTGCTTAAGGACCAGCTGAGCGGCACCTTCCTGCTGCGCTTCAGCGAGAGCAGTCGTGACGGTGGCATCACCTTCACCTGGGTCGAGAAGCAGGATGGCATTGCCTGCGGTGAGCTTGGGGGGGAGGTTGGGAGCGTTGCGTGCTTTGAGAATCGCCCACCGGGGCATCCCTGGCAACAAGATGAGGCGGTGGGCACAGTGGGAGGATGGAGAGGTGGGAGAGAGGAGGGGGGTCCTGGAAAAAAGGGCAAGGAGAGGTGTGAATGTGATAACACGGCCACGACTAGAGGGTGGGCCGGCATGAAGAGCACCGGGAAGAGTTTGTGAATGGAATTGTAATAGGGGGTTAGGGAGAGAACAGGAATCTTATAGCACTTAAGGCCACTCACTGCAGGCCCGGTGAAAACATGGGCAGAATAATGCGTGTGGAGCAGTACATGAAGCCGGGTGGAGCAGGATCCTATTTTTAATTGAGCTAAGGAGTGCTGTGACCCAGCTGTTTGAATCAGCTGCTTGCCCCTCCTGCGAGTGGATCACTATGAGTGGAGGCTCACGTGCTGCCCATGTGATCATTGCCCCCGCCCCTCCTCTCCTCTATTGTCCACGGGGTTGCGCGTCTGCAGGTGATGTTCAGATCCACTCGGTGGAGCCGTACACCAAGCAGCAGCTAACGGCCGTGTCTTTCCCCGACATCATCAATTCTTTCAAGATCCTGAGCGATGCCAACATTCCCGAGTGCCCCCTGAAGTTCCTCTATCCGAACATCGGCAAGGATGTAGCCTTCAGCAAGTACTACTCGCGCAGTAAGTCCTAAGCCTCTGTTTACTCGCGCGCATTATATGTATGCACAATACAACAGTCATCCCACTCGTGCTGATGAGACTCTCAGCAAGCCCCTGTGAAGGTCATCGTGGCACATGAGAAGGTGATGTGACCAGGAACATGCTAGGCCATGCCTAGCTACCTCTGTCTCCCCAGTGTTGCTGTTAACACAATTGCAAGATTATCCATTTCAGACTTGAGTTACCCTAGTGGAAGCCCAGGTCGTGTTCACGTATCGATTTTCAGATGTGTGCATGGGCACGAATCGAATGTGGGTTGCCAATATGAGAATGCAGTTTTGTCTTTTGTGGGTTTAATTGCTTAACCCTATGTCCCCGTTACCTGTAGCATCATAAGCAATATGTTCTGCACAGACATTTTTTACAGAGCCAGTGAATAGCACTCTAAAAAGTAATGACAGATTACATTTAATTCTGGATTATGTGTGTTTCATCTGTGTGTGTGTGTGTGGCAGAGGTTGATGCCATGGAGGAGGATAAGAAAGAGGGCTACATCCAGACTGTGTTCATCCCGGTGCATGAGTTGTAAGCCCCTCTCTGCATCATTGTATTATGGAGGTTACCACATTGGTCTTGTTTGTGCTCAGCGCGATGGACGAGCGACTTGGCCTTTCTCTGTACATCAGTTGAATGCGTTGTTACGTGCGCTGTGTTGCGAGCTCTGAGCTGTGTGCCACACCGTGTAGGGTGTCAAGTGCATGCTCTGTTCTGTGCTACCGCTGTGAACACCGCTCGCTGCACTCGCTGTGCCATTCGGTGTGTGTACACTTGCACTGTGCCATGTGTGTTGCTTGCTGTGCCGTACACGGTATTGTGCTGCGTGTGCTATCTGCAGTGTGGTGTTTACTGTGTGCCGTGGTGTGCTATGGGTCACTGTGTGCCTGTGTCACCGGTGTGGTGTGCCGCGTCAGCAGGAGGGTACCCCGCAACTCCGACATCTTCCCCATGTCCCCGGAGGACTTTCAGCAGCTGACAGACACCTTCCCTGACTTTGAACAGATGAGCATGGAGGTGAGATACTATTCAGTCAATCCCACATCGATCCTCTGATTTAAATATCATTCGCCACAATCATAGATGAACATTTACTGTACGTGTATCCCAAAATGTTTTAATTGCATGAATTAAAATTACATTCCGCAAGCAACGGTGTTGCGCATCATACTTTACACCGGTGGAGTTTGACCTCTGGAGATAATATTAAGACTGGATTACAACTGGTGTATAAGAGAAACTGCTGTGTTTTGCCCTACAGCTGTGCAGCCCACCCCATCCTCCCCTGTGATGAAGGAAGACCCCTCCCCCAATTGCGAAAACCAGCATCGCGCCTCCGTGGTGGGAATGGAAGAACTACTCATTCCGAGGCAATTGCACCAGTCTGATGATGAAACAATTAACAGTCCCCCTTAAAAGCTGTCCCTTAGAGACAGCCATTCAATGAGAAACCTGCCCCCCCACTCCTTTCCTGTCCACACTTCTTGTCTTTGCTTCCCTCCGAGGTTATAGCCTGGAACCGTATATGCCAACGCGTGTCGCTGCCACAGTATGCACACTTGGATCGCGGGCTCAAAGTGGATGAACTTTCAAACTGTTTTTTTTTTTGTAAAATGTTTAAATCACCCTGAAAGTTAATTAATTAAGCTCCTAGAAAGCTTTATTATTGATGAGGCGAATGCCCATTTGAGGTTACTGAATTGGCACTTTTGAGATTCTGGCTTGAAGCACTGGGGTGGATAGGTGTGGTCTCCCTCAAATCCCCCTACCCAGGTGATCATGAAAAAGGCCCAAATTAATGTTTGCACTTGAAACTCCTGTGCTGTTCTCTTACCACTTGCAGCAGGCTACACAGCTTACATGTATTAAGAGTTTGTGAGGATTCTAATTGGCAATGATAGGTGGGGTAAAATCCCACACTTTCTGTTCTGCATAGCATTGCCGCAGAAACAGCTGCTGTGCTGATCCTGGGCACTCCACTGTTATCCAGGACATTGCAGGCAACCTGCATAATGCAGGGAACATCACGTGTACGAGACTCACAACTTCCAGGTTACAAATGAGCACGTAGTTAGTCGTTCAGCAATGTTTGTATGTACGGACGTTGAACTTCTTTCGCACCATATGTAGCCAACTGTAGGTATGAGCAAGAAGGATGCTGAGTAATCTCTAAATATATATTTGAGCGATTTATAATAGATTTTTGAGTTGGTGGCATGCGTGTCGTAAAAACCCTGCTCCATTGGACACGGCCCTGTTAAAGTTGTCACGCGATGTGCCAATATATAACCGGAGTGTTGCACACAGCGATTCACATTTAGCTGGTAGTTCCAACCAGCTTCCATGAAAAAAAAACATTTTGAGTATTACCCCTAATATTAGTCGTTTCTTTAGCACGTAGATCCTCCCCTCCCCCCAACCCAACATTCTTAGTCAATAAGGAATTTGGTCAGTGTTCCAAGCAGGAACCTCCTAACTTACCTGGTATGTAGGAGTTTTTGGGTTTGATCCCGACCCCAATGTCTGTGTATTTGGGGTTTGCATGTTCTCCCCATGGTTGCGTGCTTTTTTTCTCCGGTTTTCCCGCCGTATTTGGCTGCTTAAAATTTTCACAAAGGCCACTGCATTGAGCTATTATTTGTGGCCACGACGCTTCTGAAAAAAATAGTTCCTAGTTGAAGGACATTGTTGTTTTTATTACAATTATAGTAGGGACTCCAATTGAGGGAAAGCCTTGGGCTGTAACATTTGCACACTGAAAAAAACAATTGTAAATACATTAGCAATCATTAGAACTCGTGAATGTCAATGACTTCCAAACTTATTGCTTCTGCTGCAATTTTTTTATGGATATGCGTTTCTTTTTTGAAGCACCTATATATTTGTCTTCGTACTGTTTAAATATCGTGCATATGCTTTTGTAGTATACCTGTTTTTGGAATTTCAGTCTGATACTATTCTTGCAACGTATATATGCGTAACATTAAGCAATGGGATGCATGTTCGATAGTGGTTCAGGAAAGTAGTCGACACTCTGCTTGTTCCATTAAATAACTTTATTGAAACACAAAGCCTTTTTTGTACACAAGCACTCGGGCACTTACGCAAACACACAAACAACAGTTGGCCGTTTAACATTTTGCTTCATGTCAACTTTACTTCAAAGTACTGCTCCTCAAACTGCACTTAATGGGATTGCAAATGACACCAAGACGAACAAAGCGGTGTCCGTGATTCTGCTATTAATCATAAAATAAAGTTGCCCACAAGTCTTCTTTGTTGCATCCTTATCCTGCTTGAATCGATAACCTACAATTCACGATTGTCATTTGGAAGTAAATCTGCTGTGTACTTTTGTAACCATGTGCTTGTAAATTATTCAGAGCTGTCAGGGAACTAAAAAGGACAATAAAAGTTCTGCAAATGTTTGATTCGAAGCTGACTCTACAATTTCATAGCAGGTACTTGTGAGAGTACTTTTTTTTTCATTGCATTCTGACCACAAGTATTGTGGTTAATGCAGACATGATTCCTTGTAAAAGGTTTCAATTTGGTGTTTTAACATCTTATCTGTTTTGTTGCCAGAAAAAAGGGGAAAACCTCTTCTCAGGTACTTTTGAATTTAAAATAAAGTGGTCACGTGTCAAAATAAATTAAATATATTCAATGAAAATGCTGTAAATCTTAAAGCTTTTGTCACTGCTGGAATTCATATTCTTTGGGTCTTTTGGTAAAGCCACGTAAATAGAACAAATAATAATATATAATTTTTAATAAAAAGAGTATATAATTTAATATATAAATAATTATCCTATATCATTTTTAAGAAAAAATAAGATATAATTTAATATATTTTTATTATTTGTTCTATCTACGTGGCTTTACCGAACGGCCCAAAGAATAAAATTCTGTACGTTCTAGCATTACAGTGAAAATAATCCTAACGTTTTAACAGTATCACTTCTGCCCATGGTGGTTCACACAGGAGTAGCAAGTTCAGTACATGCATCAAAACAATGCCAAACATGCTGATGAGTTGTGTTAACAGGCAGGACACTTGAGTACAATTTTTAAAGTTAGCAGATAAGAGGCTATCTTGTCTTGAAGTCATAACTAATGAACAAAACATACATTCAGAAACTCAATAGCGATGTATGCTTTTTGAATTGATTGCCTTGAAAGTTATGTTTCATTTAAAACCGGCTGTTACATAACAAAAGTAGCAAACGGCTGTGTATGTTAGATACCCATAACATAAATTGTCGACATCAGACGAAGTTAAATGCCTCGACTCTAAAACACTGCACATCTTAGTATCCTGTGTTGGAAGGCTGCATGTCCAGGATGAAGATACTATGAAGACAACAGCTTCACTTCAGTTCCAATAAACATCAATACTCAAAATAAACAAATGGGGAAATGACAAAACACACAAGACCGCTCATGACGACATCACGCTGGAAAAAAAATATAAAATAATACATCGCCATAACGCGGGTTTGCACAAAGAAAGCCAGTTGCTCATGCTGTACAAATACAATGAAGCAATACCAGAGCCTCTTCTTACAATAACTTAACTGCACATTTGTAAAAAGAAACACATTCCGAATAACCATCCCCACCTTTGGTACTAATGGTTTACTCGGGTTACAGAGTGACAACCAAAAACGATAGCGCATTCATTGCGCTCACTCGCATAGCGAAAACGTTCAGCCTCTCGAGGTGTTTTATTCCAGCAAGTGTGTGTCCTGCGCATCCACAATTGCGTGAATATTGCAGACTGCAAAGCAGACACGCACCAGTGCAGCACGCAAGATCCGCAACTGGCAGCATTGTGAGACAACTGCTCGAGGTGGTATATGCTCGTAACTGTAAAGGCAAGCATCTGTACCAAGCCAATGTGACAATTATCGGTTTATTAATGTTATGCCTCATACTGCAAAGTTGAAAGTGTTGCGAGACCACGAATGTATTCCCAGAAATGTTACTTGTGGACAGTGTTGACTCATTGCATCCCTGCAAGTTTCTCCATATGGAACAGAAGAGTAACTGCAAATCTGAAGACAGTGATTTTAAACTAATGTATCAGTTTCAAGTCTGCTTGGATATATATATTACTAAAGGCATTACTCTACATAGTTAAACTATCACTCAATTATCCTTTAACAAACCTATCCAATCGATCAACTATGTAAAATCGGCACAAAAATGTATTGCCAAAAATGACGTTAGAAGTTAAGAATTTACGAGTGACGAAACGAAATACGTTCCAATTTGGAGGCCTCATTTGTTTAAAAAAAAAATTATTTTCAAAGGCAGAGCCAGCAAGTCGTATGCAATCGGTCCCAGGACACATCCTTCCAATTTGGAATGCTATAGCATAGCTTTAAGACTCATCGATCCTGCTCCAGACACCAGTCTCACCCAATGTGGCACAGCGATGCCGGCGATGATGAACAATGGGCAATGCACCATCGGAGTACTGAGCTCCAAAGGACTCAACACTACACCTCTCATTTGGATATTGGCAGAAGCAAACAAGTTTGGTTTATAACAATAAATATATATTTTTGTTCCGTACAACCAATAAACATTTGTTCTTTCCATTTGTAGTGAGTCACTTCTGAGACACTATTTTAGGAGGCAACGTTTATTCTACACTATATATCTCAAACACTGTTCACACACGGGATAACTAATTACGGGTCAGAGCAGCCAACACGCTGCGAAGACGAAGCAACTCAGGTTCTATTCCACCTGTAGACAGCCCTGATTCAGCCTCAGAGCTTCCCTTTTATGCCCCTCAGCATGGCCTGGCTCCGCCCTCGGCCACACCCCCTTCTGGAACCTTCCAGGTTCTGGGCCGACCTCCACGTGCCACCTGCCCGGCCTCCGCCCTTAACCACACCCCCTTCTGGAACCCTCCAGAAGGTCCTGGCCCATGCTCCCTGTGTCCCCTCGGTCACCTTTGCCCTACATCCTTCACCCCGGCCCATCACGTGCTTCACCAGCCGGCCGGGGTGCCGTGTCCCCACATGCCCCTCTCTGCCAGCAGCCAGCGCCACGCACCCTAATGACCCACTGCGTGGTATTACATGCTGTGCTGGCTGCTACACCCATATTCCCTCATTCTATTGTACCCAGCTCTACGCGCCATAGTGATCCATTGTATGTCACTACACATTTAAGATTGATCAGTTTAAGTCCGTAGTCTACAGCGAGTAAATTTGACTAAGGAAACCACCACTACAGTAACACCAGACCAGCACGAACGCTCAATTCTCTACTTTAGGCACAGCAAGGCCTACAAGTGCAGTTCAAGCAACGACATCCACCTTGTGCCTTGACCACAAAGCTGTCATCATCCCACGAGCAAAGCACTCGTCACGGGCTCGTTTTCACTACATTGCACTCTGATGACAACCTTTATATGCGTCTCGTCAGATCTTACAACTCGCACACACAAAAATTGACGTCCATAAAAACTAATTTCAGAAATGTACATTCGTGCGTGTGTAAACATTGCGGTAAACAAATGGTTACAATTTGTATTGGAGTGTTTTTGGCGGGACACTTTAGTCTCGGGGTCTGACGCAATGCAAGTAGGTGCCGATGCACAGCTCAAATCCACGTGACTGACAGAAATCAAACATGACCCTTGATCTGAAAATGTTCCCATGCGCAGTGGATACAGCTCAGTGACTACATCGTCTGACTAACAAGTGCTTCCTAGTCACTGACCTATTCCAAATGTTTTTGTATTTGTAATGCTCAACTCCGGAGAAAGCAAAACCAGTAGCGTGAAGTCTCATTTTGAATGGGCACTGGGAAAGAGTTCAGTCTGCAATTAGGGCTGTGATTACATCTTGGATTACTGTATATTTGGTCTGGGCTGGGCCTGTTCCCAGCACGACTAATTGGAAAAATCATTGAACACAATGGAAAAAAAAACCCTCTACAGATTCATGCATTCATTTGATAACAGATCAGTCAAACCACACTAGAAACTTCATGCAACTTCCGATGCGACTGCTTTTCTGATTGAAAGGTTTTCAAGTCTCGGACGTCTCTGACTGCACGAGGGATGACAACAGCCTTCACTGCACACACGTATTACACCACTGGTTACAAACACATCTCACGATGCTCCGAAAGCTTTAAATACGGACACCCACCTTGCAAGGCCACAGCAGGACGGCCAAACAGTGCAAACATAGAAGACCACAACTCCATTCTGACTACAGCCATCCCAAAAGCAGCAAAACCCCAAAACGCACACTCAGGACCTGGATCAGGAACTGGGTCAGGACCTGGGTCAGGAACTGGGTCAGGAACTGGGTCAGGACCTGGATCAGGAACTGGGTCAGGACCTGGATCAGGAACTGGGTCAGGACCTGGGTCAGGACCTGGAGCTGACCGCCAACGTCGTGGATGAGGGGCAGGGAGAGACAGTGGTGAAACACGTGATAGAAGATGAAACCCTACGCACATGGGATCGTGAGTCCACGCTTCAGCTGATCAACGCCGAAAGGAACTTTGTGGAAGTGTTCAGCAGACGCCCGCACCTTAAGAAGGAGATATGGGCAGAGATCACGCGGCACCTGCAGCAGCTGGGACTCAGATTCCAGGCGGTGCAGGGTCGCCGGAAAAACGCTGGCCGCCGCCTACCACCGGGCCCTGGTGCTGAACCGACACGCCAACGGCAGCACGGAGCGGCGCTTCTGCCGCTACTTTAACGGGCTTCAAAGCAAATTTTGATTTAAAGCTTTCGTGACTGCAGGGATTCATATTCTTGGTTCTTTCGGTAAAGTCACGTAGAAGGGAAACAATAAAATAATTGTTTTATATTTTTATTATTTTGTTTCCCTTCTACGTGACTTTACCGAAAGAACCAAGAATATGAGCTTCAAAGCATTCTGGGCGACGGTGAGGCGCAGGCTGCGGGGGGCATAAACATAGCCGCCGGGAACTGGGGAAGCACCACAGGAGGAGGGGAGGTCGCTGATGGAGCCGAGTCTGCCATCCTCCACCCGACCTCCTCCACAACCGCCAGCAGCACCACAGTCGACTCAGCCTCAAATCAGTCGTCAGTCCCCCTCGCAGAGGCGGAGGAGCTGGAGGAGGCTGTCCGCATGGAGCGTAAAACGCTGGCGTCGTATGACGGCCCAACAGCCACCGCCGTCACAACCGCCGCAGCCACTGCTATCATCACCACAACAACTACCGCCGCTACAAGTACAGCTACAGCAACAACAACCCCAGCCGCCGCAGCATCTATACCACCATCATCAGCACCACCACCACCATCAGACGCCTAAGTACCAAATCGCCAGCTACTCGCCGGTCGGCTCTACCGCATCCCCCCCTGGCTTCTGTGAGCATGGCCGCAGCCTCCTCGTCCTCCTCCACCTACTGCTCACCTGGTCAGCCCTCTCAACCCTTGAATCATCGGTCGAGTTTTCAGGGTCCAGGAGATGGGGTCATCTACGACCCCAGCACTTTGCCCAGCCTGACACAGCACACGCGTTTCGACAAGGGTGACCGTTCATGTTGCGACGAGTGTGCGAGATGTTCTCGCGCTCGGCTAACCTGTGCTTTTCACGTGCGTGTTTCACTGTGTACCTATTATATTTTAACAAGGGCAGTTCTCCTTCTGTTGTGTATCCAACTACTGTCCCTCCCAGACATACCAAGTGCCACACTCAACTCTACCACCGACTATGCTCGTTATTTCTCGTCCGTACTTGATGCTCTGTTTGCCACTAAATCTGCAAGTGGAACAGCTCATAGCCACTTCTACACTCCATCATTTGATCCTTTAAACCCCTATCTGTCCCATTACTTCACCAGCTCTCTTTCCAAACGTCATTCAGCTCTTTAAAATGTCGCCATCTGCGAGCTGCTGCTATTCGTCCAAGGTTTGCCGCTCTTCATCCTTTCACAGAAAATATCAATGCAAACTATTAATTCTACTATTTCTGTAAAGAACTCGTATAATTCTGTAGATTTTTCTGGTAGAAAAGGTGTTGGTGTTCTACATGTCAACATCAGAGGGCTTGTGATTAAATTTAGCCAACTAAAACTAGAAGTGGCAAATCTGGATCCGGACACTCCTGCAGATTATGATTGACAACTACAACCTTTTTCGGCTTGACCGAGGATCTAAAGGAGGTGGAATTGCCATCTATGTTCGTAGTACTATTGCATGTCTACCAGCTCATTCAGTGTTGAAACAATGTTGCTTTGAAGGTCTGGCTCGCAGAATCACTCTCCCTAATAATCAACAGATATTGTTAGTGTGCTACTATAGACCGCCTAGTGGTAAGGATGTTTAAGCTTTGGACTGCACTGAGGGAGCTTATTGGTGACCTCCCTAAAGGTGAAATAGTTTTAGTGGGTGATCTGAATTGGAATTGGCTAAACCCACCTGCCATGGCCACAAATTTTGAAAATGAATTTAGCTTATTTCAATAAAAAAATGTCCCCACAAGACCCAACCTAAAAAAAACCCGGGACAGTCATCTCTGCTTGATGTCCTGTTGACTAATGCCCCTCACAATTTCCCACTTACTGGTGTTCTGGGTAATAACCTTAGTGATTACCCCTTCATATTTGGGGTGAGATTGTCAGCCAGACCCAAACCCCCCCCCCCCCAAATCAGTTGATAAGCACTCCATGAGACACGTCAGCATACAGGCATTTACTAATGATGTGCTTCACTCGGATATTGACAAGGTCTGCGGTATCCACAACCTGACTACGGCTTGGGAGACCCTTCAGGTACACGTTTCTCCAAATTCTTGGCAAACATGCTCCGTTGGTTAAATTTAAAATTAAAGACAACCGTCCACCATGTTTTGATCCTTTGATTACTAAGCTCATGAAAGCTAGGGAAAAGGCCTGGAAATGTGCTCACAAAAAGTAATTTTGTCTGACTGGCTCGAGTACAGGAGTTCGAGGAATAGATGCGTCAAAAAAATACGGCATGCAAAAAATGCTTACTTTTCCTACACTCTCCTGGAATCACGTGGCAACGCCAGGATCTTCTGGAAAACAGTCAAATGTATTGAAAAGGCATCTAATACGGATAATCTTGCACTTAACCGAAATGGGGACTATTTTTCAGAGTCCCAAAAAATAGTCGACAATTTGAACCTAAATTTTTCTGAAGCTGGTGACCTTTTTGATAATAATAATGTGTTGAGAGTAAACCCCGCTAAAGCAATTTCTGACACCCCTGTACAAACATTAAACGAATTTAGTTTCCAGTCAATCCACGAAAATAATGTTCTGAAACATCTGTCCTACCTCAAAGGGTCCTCCTCTTCCAGAGAGGATAGTATTCCCGTCTTTGCTCTGATAACTGTTGGTCACCTAATATACAAACCGAAAGCCCATATTTTCAACCTGTCCATCAATGAAGCATCGGTAACTCTAGAATGGAAACATTCCTATGTTCGTCCACTTCACAAAGGGGGCCCTAAAGATGATCCAAATAACTACCGTCCAATCTCAATTTTGTCCCCGTTGATGAAAATGTTTGCAATTTCCTGTCTGACAATAATCTCTTACATCTAAACCAATCTGGATTCCGAAAAAAATACAGCACCACATCTGCTGCACTAGACTCTCCAAATCACATTTACAGTAGCACGGATAATAAGCAGTACTGCACCAGTCTTTTTCTGGACTTGTCCAAAGCCTTTGATACAGTGGACCACAACACCCTGCTTAGTAAACTAAGTTGCCTCCGTTTCTCCAAACACGCAGTGGAATGGTTAAAAAATTACCGCTCTGCTCGCACCCAAACTGTATTCATAGATGGTTGGAGGGCAGTGTTAAGTTAGCAAATGGGGTTCCACAGGGTTCCATCCTTGGCCCCCTCTTGTTCTCTTTATGTAAATGACTTGGGCACTGACCTGGATCATTCCTGGGTAAATCTGTTTGCAGATGACACGATATTGATTACTGCTGACCGCTCTACGGATGACGTTATTGCTAAGCTCCAGTGTGATTTCAACAAACTACAATAGCAGCTAGTTGCTCTTAAATTAGTTCTGAATACCTCCAAAACCAAGGTGCTATGCTTCTCACCAGGACTAAAGCAGGAAATTATTTTTCCCCAATTACATTCCTTAAATAATTATCAAATAGAGCACGTCAAGATCTATAAGTATCTTGGGGTCATCTTTGATTCAAATCAAAATTTTCAAGATCACATTGATTATATTGGTAAAAAAACAATAAAAATGGTTTTCTGTATCGACACAAGCACTGCTTCCCCACTATGTTCTGTTTAGAATTGATAAAAGCTACCATACTGCCTCTACTTGATTACTGTGACATCGTATATAAATCAGCCCCCAGTACTGTACTGAATAAACTTGACCCAATTTATCACTCGGCCTTAAGATTTGCATTGAACTGCCCATATAGGACCCACCACTGCGATCTCTACACTGGGTCAAACTTACCATCTCTTAATGATTGACGGCTTGTGCATCAGATCTTATTTATTCACGATGTACTTACAAATAAATCAGCAGACTACCTGCTGGATCTCCTCACTGTTTCGAAGAACAAATGTCACCTCAGGTAATTTACCAGCTTCACATTCCTTATTGCCGTACAAATACTGGAGGAAGGGCTTTTGCTGTTGATGCCCCAAGGGTCTGGAATGCTATCGCCAATAAACTGCAACTTGGGTCACTCCCTGTGAGATCTGCACTCAAAACTGCTCTTGAGGAGCTGTATACCCCCCCACCCCCCCTGCGACTGCTATGCTGAGTGGCCTGAAATTAAATGCATCGCTCCGGATGTTCGCTGCAAAGTATGATTTTTAAGTTGATTATCGTGTACTCATCTAAAAAGGTGACTTGATATAGTACGATACTACTGCTGATATTTGTGCTGTTATGGAGTAACTCATGCTTGTGACTATGGCTACAACGTTTTTTTTTACTGTTGTTACATTGTTTTTATAGTTTTATTTTGGTGATTTCAGAAACGTTATGGTTAAGCCATGTTTGTTTGTTGAAGTACTGAGCTAGCCTGATAACTGTAATCGAAATTGTCTTTTGGTTGTTGTTTTTTTTACTTAAATCCCATTGGGATTTTTGCACACAGCCTTGTTATACGGTGTTTTTTTCCTGGGAGATTTAGCTCTTTTTTTCCTGGATGTTTCTGTTGCGTGTCATCATTTTAAAGATGTTCTGTGTTCATGTTTTTTGTTTGTTGCGGTTGCACCCGAGTCAAGAGCCACATGGGTCACAGGGCTACACCTGAAAAATAAACTTGAAACGCGGCCGCAAGTGCCGTCGAGATCATTTTCGCTTGGCAAAGTGCGTGACGGCATCCCTGCCACTGTATGCCACGGACGTGGCTGCTCATTAAATACGTCGCGTACAGAATGTGGCGGTGTGCTGCAGAGGTCAAGAGCACTGAGCTGTCACTGCCAAAATCCTGGGTTTGAACGCTAGCAGCCGCCCGTGATTAAAAACGGGTTCGAGTGTCGTAAGTCCATGGTCTCAACACAGTCACCAATGACTGCACAAGTAAACAAAACATCACATACCGAATTCGGTGTTGCACTTAAGAAGGTTAGATGCCATCTCTGAGAGTTAAAAACACTGGTCTGTCATGTGATGAATAATACTCTGCAGCAGGGCGAGTGGAAAAGTGCTGCCACCTTAAGTTGTGCTGCTCTTTGACAGTTCCCGATGGATTATAATTCATCACATGACATGGCACTAATAACCCAATTGAGATAACATTTTAGAAAAACACACAAATCAGTCACGTATCAAAACAAACTGCACAGGCCAGGTTTCTATTTATCTGGTAGTATCAGACAAACAAGTGCATTTAATAAGATGCGCACTTTGCCATGTAATGTATATTTGGTTGGATATAATCAAACAGGAGAAGAGCATTCCTGTAATTGTTTTACATCAAATTATCTGTAAAGATGTCACCGGAGATGAAATGAAGCAATCAGATCACGTGCAGGATCTAGACGGACCGTTGCATTGCGAGATTGTTATACATTGAGATTGCTTAGGGAGGCATTCATCCCAGCAGTTGATTGATCATGGCTGATATCTGTTATGTAGAATGTATTTATGTTAAAATGAGTGACTGCACAGAGCTGCAAGACAATCTTTCACGTGGACACTCAATATAAATATGTAGTCATAGATCCGTTAGGCATGCTTCAGCGGAAACCGTGTGGTGACGCGCAACGGCCTCAGGTACAGAGATGTACTGCCTCATGTGTCTGTATGCGTTGGTGTGTATAGACATGGAGTGCTCATATTTACAGTAAACAAAATATTCACGATAACAATAAACATGCAAATGTAAAAAGTTTAGATGTAAAGTGTTCCGCTCAGCACAGTTGTCCGATTTTAAAGAAATCCAACATGTTGTTGGTGTATTTGGCAAGCCAAACATTTTCAATGATCTGCCTGTTTAGACTAAGCTTGTCCATTTTTTTATAATGAAGATGTTGACCTAGTTAATTAATTATATTAAGTTGCCAGGTTTAAATTCCTAAATTTCCTCTTCTTAATATATTAATTCCCTGCACAAATGCATCACAGGGATTGTCATTGTATGCATATTTATGTGATGGAACTGTGACTTGTAATGTGCATACAAACTTTATCTGATCAGACACTTAATATTGCAGCCAATTTACTTTAAAGGACTGTTGATGCCTTAGTCATAGCAGCCTAGCACTACTTATTATCCAAACTCACAATGTACAAGTTACCGGCTCGTTATAGACATACAAACATGTCTTTAATGCCACTATACACACACACTTTTGATGACTGTTGGAACTACCAAATATTTAGCCTATGTATTTGACTTATTATATAAAGCCTGACAAAAGCCAATACCATTTTGGTTGCTTTTGCTTTGCCATGTCATGAATATGAAGGGTGATCGCTGCTCATAAAAATGGGCAGTGCTTAAGACTCAACACATGTAAACACAACAAACTAAAAAGCATCCAACTGCTAACCAGATGATGGCTTCTCAAAGAACCCCTGGCAAAATTCCCACGGGCAATTACATGGCCATTTCTTTGTTCTTACTATAAAAAAAGCACAATTGACGTGTGCGTGTATGCACGAGCTGGACTCTCGCCATCAGTTGGGGCTAATATTCAGTGTGCGGTGTAGTCCAGTAGAGGCCACTGAAGCCCACGCAATGCTCACTGAAGCTGCTTGCAGTCTCGAAAAATGTAGATGCATTTGCAGCAGGAAGAGCGTTTCACTGATACACTTTGAAAATTGTGCTGCAGATGCGGCTGCTGAAGTCTTGCCAGCAGGGTGTGCCGATGAGCCTTCGCCTGCATCTGCATACTTTTACTGAAAGTCATATATATGCAACTGTAATATTAATATAATAGGGGTTTTCCCTTTTTTTTCTGGCAACAAAACTGAAACCTTTTTACGAGGATTCATGTCTGCATTAACCACAATACCTGCAGTAAGTTCAAGGACAATGCATATATTATCATAGTATGCTTTTTTGTTTGCATTTTGACTGCAGGTATTGTGGTTAATGCAGACATGAATCCTCGTAAAAAGATTTCAGTTTTGTTGCCAGAAGGGGAAAAACCTTATTATATTTTGGTACTGGCAAAGGAGGTCTAATGATGTAATATTATTATGAATACAAAAAAATCTGAGAATGTTATTCACACATAAGCAACCATGTTTAGCTGACATGGCATGCCTATCATGTGACCATAAGCAGCCAATGAGGAGGCAAATTTCCCTCATGCAATCTCATCCTCAATTCAAAAAGATCACAATAATTTTTTTTGCAATAATTAAATTTGCCTTTTGGAAACACTTTCTTGCGGCAGATGCATACATGAGCACCGAAACCCTAAGAACAAGTGTTCCCTGGCACAGCCACAGTGCAACATACGGCTTAGAGATGAGACTATGAACACTCGAATCTTGACTTAAAGCTTTCGTGACTGCAGAAATTCACTCTTTGGGTCTTTCGGTAAAGTCACGTAGGTAGAAAAATAATAATAAAGAAATCACGACGCTTCGATCACAACACAAGCAATCGTTTTCAGGTGAAACAATACAGCAGGCGAACTGCTTAGGCAGGGAAAATACAGGGTATATATTTCCTATTCTTGGTTCTTTCGGTAAAGTCACATAGAAGGGAAACAATAAAATAAAAAAAAATATAAAACAATAAAATTCTCACGACGTTTCGACTGCAACACAAGCACTCATCATCAAATTTTCTTGCTGTGGTTTTTACACCTGATGATGAAAGCATATATTTTCTCTCTATATTTCTCCTGCCTCAGCAGTTCGCCTGCTGTATTCAAGACGATTGCTTGTGTTGCGATCAAAACGTCGTGATGTTTTATTATTATTATTATTTTTCTTCTATCTACGCAACTTCACCGAAAGACCCAAAGAGTATGAACACTTGCTCCGCTATTTCCTGACCTGTTCAGCCTCACACCGTGTGTCCCCAGAGGCCTCTTGTCATTGTACAAGCCCCAGGATTGATGCATGGAGGTCATTATGGGAGCAGGCAGCAGAGAACAAATAATCTCCCCCCCCATTGTGCATTGCAAAAACGCTTTTTTTTTAAATGAAAGTGATTCAACACAGAGGCAATTACTGAATCGAACTGTTGATAATTTTGGTTCTTGAATGGTTGTGTTTGTGTCTGTAAAAGCATAAAAACTGTTTACGGAAAATGTTTTATTTAAAGCTTTCGTGACTGCAGTAATTCATATTCTTAGCTCTTTCGGTAAAGTCACGTTGAAGGGAAACAATAAAATAATAAAATATATGTAAAACAATAAAAATTCTCACGACGTTTCGACCATAACACAAACGGTTGTAATTGTGTTATGGTCGAAACGTCGTGAGAATTTTTATTGTTTTATATATATTTTATTATTTTATTGTTTCCCTTCAACGTGACTTTACCGAAAGTGCTAAGAATATAACTGTTTACGGACTTTGCCGAATTTTGAACACAATTGTGTTGCTTGTTTAGGAGTGCACAAAAGGCAAAAGTGCTGTATTTAGTTGACTGGCTTCTACGTTTTGTGACTGTAGGACATAACTCGTGCTTTCAAGAAATGAAATGAGCTGAATTTTCCACCAACATATGTATACACATACATATTTAGGGGTGATAAATAATGTAGTTGTGCAAATGCAGTTTATCTTAAGGTTTAACGGGGCTTTGTTCAAGCACCTATCGTTTTCAGGAGCGGTGCGTGAATTTTATGGAAAGAAGTTCTGTAACATTCAGTTTGTCAAATGTTTTAACGCGATTTTAAAATGAAACGTTGCTTAAGAGAGACCAGTCTGTTAGCTTAACTAAAATACCCTGAAATAATGTTCTGACCACAACAGAAATAAAATAAAAACTATTTCAACATGACGATAGCTTAATTTAAATGGCCGCAGAGTGTACGCTCAGAAATGTATAGAAATATAAGCAGTGAGCGAGTTCAACAGTTTAGATGTGTAAGTAAAAGGGAATTGAAGAGCCACACAATACGGACGGCACATGAAAGCAGAGAAAGTTTTAAGCACAGCTATCTTGTCCTGAACACAGCAGTGGCCAATAAGTTGATCACAATCCACTTCAAAATATTTGTTGTGGATATCAGAACAAATCGGAACACTTACATAAGCAGACAGCAATTTTCGTTAGGGCTGATGGCAAATTAAAATCCTCAAATAATTATTCACGTAAAAAAAACTTCTTCCAATAGATGGCGCTAGTACTTTATGTCTACATGTTAGTGTATTGGCCACTGCCGCCTGAACACATTTTGATCACCCCTTGTAAATACTGTCGATGCTCAATGTCATATTTATTTAAGCACTTGCTTCTAAGCGTACAGCGAGTAGAGCTTTTTAATGACCTATTATATTCGGTGATGCTCTTGAAGGGTTTTAACAGATCACGCAGTGTCAAAGTCGCAGGGCCACCTGTGAGGGTGATACCCTTGGGAGTGCGTGCGCACGCACACGTACATGAGTCCCCCGCCCTGTGCCGCCCGCTTGCTCGCTCACACCATGCTCTCCAGGTTGTCCTTGGTGACAGATTCAGGCAGTGGCTTGTCGGCCACGTTCCCCGCCTGCAGGTACTTGTGCTCAAACTGTTGCAGCAGGTGAACAATCTCCTGGTGTCCGAAGCGCACGGCCTCATCCATCGGGGTGTTACCCCACCTGTGGGTAACACATCACGCACACGTGAGTGCACACACAGCAGCAGTGCACATCAAAGCACCGCAGCACAGGGTAATGGTCAGCAATGAATAGCAGCGTGGCGCAATGGAGTCCAACAGAGAGCAATGGTTCAACAGTGCACAGTTTCTTAGTTGAGATGTATGTTCTACAGCTGTTGATCACGACAAAGTAAGGTCAAGTGGCATTTGCAACTTTTTTTTTTAAACACTAAAAATCTCAAACAGCCAAACTATGGCAATCGACTGTAAAATCTAAGTGCGTGGAAATAGACATTCCAGGCTGGCCTGCATGATTGCTTTGGTATTACTCGCGAGTCATCACTTCCAGTGCCAGAAAATAAGCATAGAGCACAGGCAAATTCTGTACGCCCGCATTTCATTCAGCACCATCATGTAACACCTAGCATCTCCATATTCTAATCAATCAACGGGCATTCAAGTGGCCCCCTGTGTCAACCCTGAATATTCCCCCCCCCCCCCATATGCAAATAATTAAAAGTCAAAAGCGTATCCATGGCACAAGGGACGGTATTCATCTTCACTGGCAGCTTTGAACAAGCATTTGGAAAGCCACATTCTATCACAAGAGCCGATTTTCATACTGAACAAACGCTGTTGATTCTCCACTACCATACTGATTTTATAATCGACAAAGGGATGAGGAATTCCAACTGTAATTCTTGCCACCGTATATCTCAGACAGATAAGGCCATCACAACCATCACCCACCTCCTTCTCCACGATGAGCCACTTTAAAATCAGCCACAGAGCCACTACTGCCACCAAAGACCTCATCATCCCAAGGACCTAGTAAATGTGTCAGTCTCTTCTTAAGAATTTCCCTTGCTTAGTCCAAGGAACACTGAGGCATATGTATGACCTTAGGTTCCTATACTCTGGTTCTTTCGGTAAAGTCACGTAGGTATGAAATAAAATAAGTGTCCTGTCATCAAAGACTCCCTGCGACACGTACTGGCGACGCACTTACCTGTCTTTGGGAGTAGGGTTCACCTTGCATTTCTCCAACAGGAAACGCACCACGTCCTGGTGGCCTGTGGTAGAGCAACCCGTCATGTCAGATTGAGCTTTAAGCACGCAAATAATACAAATGCCATGGGGCTAGGATGTTAGATTAAACTGGCTCTTTCAGTTATCTCTGAGAGACCAGTGCACTTTTCAGTGATGTAAACACCATGCGTTAAATGACACGTTAACATGACATTAGTGCTATGATTTTGACAGTCTCATTCTAGAAAACCATTTAACTCAAAGAAATAAGTGTCAGTGTCTCCATGCTCATAACAGAGGAAGACTCAAGCATATTAGTGGCCACGTGCCAGTAATTGAAGTGTCTGTTGATTATATTATTGGTTCTTTCGGTAAAGTCACATAGAAGGTAAACAATAAAATAATAAAAATTTAAAACAATAAAATTATCACGACGTTTCGACTGCAACACAATCAACCATCATCAGGTGTGAAAACCACAGCAAGAAAATTTGAAAAAAGTGGCGGTTATTTTTAACGTTAGCACCACGGAGAGCGATTTGGCAGTTATTCAGATGGACGAATCCATCTATGTTCGTAAAAGAGGAGGGGGGAGACGAAAATAATGGATGCGGTCTGAAAGCCACCGTAAGCGTGAACAATCAATTAAGACCCGAAATGGTTTACCAATGGGTTGACATCGATTTTATCAATCCCACAGACACGATGGGCTGCAATGACAACCGACTGGAATTTGAAGTAGAAAAGCGCCGACTGTAAGATGAGCGCCGAAAGTAAATGGCACAAGTGGCACTCGGAGGCCCCAATCGATAGGTGTGCATGGGCCACCAAATACGCGAGATGCGGTCCAACGGGGTGGGGGGGGGGGGGTCTACATTGCACACAGGGACCTCACCTTCAGCAGAACCCACGTGCAGTGCTGTGCGGTAGTCATAGTCCCTCTGCTCCATGTCCATTGCTGACAAGGCATACCTAAGCACAAGCAGGAAACGCAGAGTTGAAATACACCACTTAAATGTGCCATTCACGCCAACATAGCATACGCAGGAACCTTGAACAGTCTTTTGAAGCTGTACGGTCCCATCGGACAGTTCTTCGGTGGCATTTATCTCAAAAGAATGTATACTTTGTTTTTTTTTACCAAATTGGTTTTTAAGACTATGAAGATTGCAGGTATGGCCAGAGATGCGACGAAATGCTGAAAACGCCACACAGTACTTGTGGTGAACATGCAAACAAACATACTCTGATAATACAGTAAAACCTTGGATTGCGAGCATAATTCGTTCCGGAAACGTGTTTGTAATCCACAGCACTCGTATATCAGTTGTGATCACGTGATGCTCGGCAGACAAAGCGTATACGTACTACTCGTATTGCAAGACCTCGCTCGTTTATCAAATTAATATTCATTTAAAATTCATGCTCGTCTTGCAAAACACTCGCGGACCAAGTTACTCGCAATCCAAGGCTTTACTGTACATTCGTTGTCTTTGAAACTGAATGACTTACACCAGTGACAGCTTACTCTATGGCCTAATCTCATCAGTGTCAGGCCAGAGAACGGCAAAAAAAGGCGAACAGCGCAAAGACAATGCACGTGCCAGAGAGTTTATAACTCCGGGTGAGGAGCTATATCACGGGACCTTTTCACCAGGATCAAAGTATCAAAGAAGCTCAAACAAAGCGCAGAAGCATCACCTTCGGAGGGCCGACACATCTCCACTGTAGGCCGCAAACAGGAGGCTGATAACCGACTTGGCCTGAAAAGAAACGCATAAAAGCTTTTAGGCACAACAAGGGATTAACAGGATTTCACCCACCAAACGAAGAATTGTTTTATATATGACAAAAATATATTTTACATAATATATCTATATATATAAAAGGGGAATTTGTGATTGTGTGTGTCTGTTTGAAAATGTTTAGCGTACTTCCCGACATGCAACAAACTTAAAATTTGCCATGTGGGTACTTTCCAGACTGTACGCCATGCAAAAATGATAAAAACAGATTTTAGGTTGTTTTTTTTTGGGGGGGGGGGGTCGCAATAATGCATTTATTTTGCACGGCAAGTGAGCTGTGACGTCACATCTCTGTAATGTCGCAAGCATGCGGCAGCATGACGCAGTGTGCTTGCTGACGTCACACCCCCCCCCCCAACCCACCGTGTAGGCCGGCTGGGGGGGGGGGGGGAATAGGTTACAAACTTTTAATTTGCCATGTGGCTAGCTCCCATACTGTGCGCAATGTAAAATGTTTAAAAATAGACTTTTGTATTTGGGTGGGGGGGGGGGAAATGACCATAGTGTGGCGTCAACCCGCATACAGGACTGGCGGGAATCGATTTCTGGTGAGCGTTTGTGGTATCGATTAAACGGGAATAGGCCGATTCTAACGAAATCTACAACCTTCGATTCCTTTGCACGAATTAAAGAATCGAATCTTGGCACGCGAGCCCAAGTTTTTTTTTTCCCACCGCGCGTTGGGTTTTATTTTTATTAGTGAGGTAATGATCAAAGTTTTATTGTCATTTGTACATGTTATTTTTTTAAGTTTTGAGAAGTTTTTTTAAACAATTTTGTTTTTTCCCCCGGGCAACGCCGGGTGCTTATCTTATATATGGAATACAATGAGTGAAGGATGACATAAAATTATCACGTATAATCTCCGTCATATAACATATGATGACGATTTGTTTACCCAGGAACATCTTTCGACTCTTTATTAGGAGGGCCCTGCTTCGGATGGTTGGCTAATTTCTTGTTAAATTGTGTTTGTTTTCCAAAGCTCATAGAGGTAAACTTTCCACTTCCCATTCTGACTCCAAATAGTACATTACTGCGCCTCTGCAGGGTGGGAGTCTTGTGCACGTAATTACAGCGACACCAACAAATCTTGCCTCCGAATCTCTGAATTACATGGCTATAAATGTACTTCACTTGATTCACAATGAACACTGATAATGATGGTCAATCTCACTATACAGATAGGCAGCACAATCGATGATGATGATGATAAACCAGTTTAGTAGTACGAGCCTACAGTGACCTATCCTCTGAGTAATAAGCATGCATTAGCACGTGGATTTGTGAACAAACGACTCAATAGAGCTCGTGTTGAAGGGAGGAATATATCTCACCTGTGCATCGCGACCCTCCGTCCGTGGGTCCAGCTTCTTGACAAAGTGTCGCAGGTTGTCATAGTTGTGGAAGTTGAAGACGGAGACCAGTTCCTGATGAAAACATGGGAGGGCATGAGACATCCACACAGTCAATGTACAGAGGCAAACACTCACGCAGCATGCTCTCAATGATATAGCCACACACAGCAGCACACATCCAATAACTGCAATCTCAAGCGGACCCGAAGCAGTGGTATCCTCAACACAATATGCACTGCTATCGTACATAAGAGTAATTAACTTTAAACTTGGCATCACCACATGCCGCACATGGCAATAATGAACACCTCATCGGCCAGTGCCAAATTTATCTGCTCTGGCAATATTGCACACCATACCTGACAGAACTGAATGCCACGGACGCTGTTGCCCAGGCGATCGAGTGCGGGCGACCAGCACATGACTCCCATCACGTTGGGCACCACCAACAGGATACCACCCGAGACCCCCGACTTGGCCGGGAGCCCCACCTAACATCGCACGGCACACTACACGGTTAGGAGCTCTACAGCAACGATGGGAAATATTTCAGGCTAAGTAGTACGGCTGGCAGTGCATGTGTGTGGTGTTGTACGCAGTGATTGGCTTGTGTGATGCGCCACAATTTTGGTGACTTGGATTGATTTCCCACATCCCCATATCAGCGGGAAGTGGTATATGAACTGGTTCTGGGTTTCTATGGCGAATCAACCTTAAGAAGACGACATGGGGTACTCATGTCGAAGACATGGGGCAGATTTGTGCTGTGGCAGCATAAGAAGCTTCTTGCTATGAGCACTAGTTCCCACATCCTTAATAGCACTCGCCACAAGAGTCTATCGCGTGATTTACATGCTGAAGGAATGCCATTTAAAGCTTGTGGATTGCTCCATCGTGGCCTTGGCAGAGCACACGCAAGCATGGCCCTCCTCCACCAGCTTGTGAATCAGACCTTCCAAGCCTGAAATAAATGTTTTTTCTTGTATATGGGGGGGGGGGGGGGGGCATTGGTGTGTTTTACACACTGCACAATTGTTTCGGTCGACCCAAGCTTGATTATTTGCCATACACAACATGAGCAATCAAATATAGATTCAAGGTTTAACAAACAAAATAGTTAATGTAGAACAAGGGCACAAAAACGAGGCACTGGGTGGCAAAGATGAGAGCAGAAGAGCAGGGTTGAGGGCAGTGGATAAGTGGGTTTCGCAGACCAAGTTAAAAACCAGTCGGGAAAGTTTCACAGAAATGTAAGCGTTCACTCACTCAAACAAGTGAAACCACATTAACCACCGTGAGTGCGCGTGTGCGCAAACGACAGAAGCAGACCAGGGAGAATCTACTCGTGGCAAAGAGCGTGCGAGCTTCTTGGCATTCAGTGACCAGCGACGCCGAACAGTGAACAGCGACACTGTTCACAGCGACGCACCATTCATCGAACGCCAAGAGGCTAATGTGGCTTCACCACACGCAAGCCGGCGCCACGAGCGTACTCGGACAACTCACCTGGAACGCGAACTGCCCGGAGAAGTCGTACATGCCACACGAGTGCATGAGGCTCAGCGTGTTGCGCACGGCCTCGGGGCTCATCACACGCTCGCCCGTGGTGGGGCAGATCCCGCCGTTGGCTAGCGTGGCCGCCATCACGCTTGCCGACTCGCACGTCACCTCGATGGAACACAGCTGGAGTGCCCACGCGCAAACAAAGGAAAAGGGTCACCCCCTATAGCCCTGAACAAGCTTTTTGGAACAAGTGCTGTTAGCGAGCGCCTTGCACGCCGCCACGGCACGTCAGGGGGCGGGCGGGCGGCCAGCACCACGCCAGGCCACTTGTCCCCACAGTAGCAATGTTTACGCATCGCACCAGGTACTAACTTGAGGCTGAGTCGACCTAGGGGAGGCCCAGGACCGGTTCAGATAATCGTCACCAGTGTTGGTGGCCATGAGTGAAAATCGAACGACGGTCGCCAAGTTTGTAGCGCAGTGTGATAACTGCGGTGCCACCTCTACTCACAAAGACAACCACACAGGCATGGTTCCTGCCATTGGAATGTGAAATGTTCACCACTTTCTCACCCCTGGACTACCAACAGATGTGAGTGCCACCCCAATTGCTTATTGAAGCAGAAATATTTTTTTTACTCAACTGTGACTTTCAGTGGCTAATCAAATTAGTATCATGTTACTGAGTAATCAGTTACGACACTAATAACATTACAGAGCTCGAATTGAGATACTTGCCAAATCAGATCCATACTCACAATCGACAAAGCTAAATTAATTAGTTACCTTATCGATACAGTGTTTAAAAATCATGACAAAATAATGAATTTGGTACGATGTATTAAAAAAATTGTCAGAAGTACAACTGAAAATTGTGTACTCAGGGGCCATAACCATTTCTGCAACATTCAAGAGGACAACCATTCTGTTTACATCCAGGTTTGTGCTAAGTGACCACTGCACTGCTTGCACTTTAATACAGTAATGCTACATGACAAACAAAATACTGCATGCTAATCTTCATTGCCGACTGCATTTTTCCAAGCTATATTTAAAAATGACTACTTTCGATTGTTAAAACTAGTTAATAGTTGACATCCATTTTCCCAAGTCACCGGCAAAAGGAAGGTACCTGCAAAATACAATACAGGTGGGCAGGCAACCCAGGCTCACCCACCTGGAAGTAGAAATCCAGGCAGCCAATAAGATCTGTGCCCTCAGGAAAGCACTGGGGTTCGGGAAAAAAAAGACAATGTTGTTATAGACCTTGCATACAACACTTTAAGAGACACTGAACACTCCCACAAAGCAAAGTGTGTGTGTGCACAGAGCGGAAATGGCCTCGTGGTTCACGTACTAATTCTGCTTCCCTGATTTTTATTTGGATTGCAACAAAAAAAACACTGTGGGCCTCTCCGATAAGCTTAACATTAAATGAGTACTGTGCCTGGTAAGGTGTATAAACATCAGGACTGGGTAGTTGTTGAACTTCTTTCACACCGTACGTAGCCAAGCGTGCTAATCGGAGGTTAGCACAGTTGGCTATGCCAGTCGTGCTGACTTTAATAGGTCCTCTCTAATTGCAGTTATCCCTGAGGTAGTTGGTGGGCAACCTGTGGCTGCACATCAGGCCGGGCAGTTAACATCTCGGCAGCGTCTGCTCTGAGCTGTGAGGCTCTGAGAGCAAGAATGAACGGCAAGAGTCAAATAGCACAGTCAAAACCTTGGAGGACATTGCCAACATATTTTATTACAGGTCACAAAAGCACAGTGAATGAGTAGCAACTGTGATAATCATTAACCAATAAGTTTAGGGGCTGCAGGAAAGTTAATTTCTTTATCAAAAACCCAAAAATGTTACGGAGCTATAGAGCTAGATAATTTACTATAGTTGCACACAAATATGAAGCTTTAAATGATATCTACATAATGTAATAGGTGGACAATAAACAAAACGCTCAATTGTAAATGTTTTATTTAGCAATTCATATGTATGCAGGGTATATGGTTACATATGTTAAAATGTTGACCGCCTTGCATCCCAACAGTAAAAACGATGACGTTGACAAAATAAAACCTGTTACAGTGGATACCTAGGTTCTGCTTTAACCCACTGGCATAAATATTTAAGGTTTGGAAAAAGACAGAATCTGCACAACCCTAGGGAACCTTGGCCGATGAAGCATGCAGGCATGTAATGAGAGAATGAGCATCAGCGCTGTGGGCATGTGAAGGACGTAAGCACGGGGGACGTAAGGACCCGTACAGCGGAGGACGGGGGAGGGAGGAGGTGTGTGCATTAGTGAGCTCACCTTCTTCTCCTTCAGGTAGTAACCAATGGCGAAGTTGCGATCGCCCGATTCCCTCTCTGACTGGAACCTGCCGAGGCACAGCGGAATGGTAAAAAGCGTGCATGGGGTGAGGTGGTGAATGCTATTGGCTGTCACGCACCAATGTGACGACCCAACAATAATGCTGCGTGTAGAAAGAAAAAACACGCACACAGAATGGCAGCTGTACAGTAGTACACATAATTAAAGACTCAAAATGTTCGCGTCAAATTGTCTTCATCTTTAATGGCGGTTCTGAGACAGCAGTGAAAATGACGCGTTGATATGGCAGGGGCCAATAATATCTACAAAGGACAATCACAAATGACTTTCAAGATTGGTTCATATTTTACTGACCCAAGGAGGGATGGATGAGCCGAGTTAACCAGAATTTTTTTTTTTGTAACTGACCAAAGGTGGCCACTATAGCCCATAGCGCCATCCTGCAGGGTAGCTGCATACTGAGGGAATGCAGCAAATCACTATGATAAATGCACAAGGCTGACCGAACATGAGCACACTGCGGATTGAAAGGTGGAGTTGAGTATGTGCCACAAAAGTTTCAGGGAGGTGAACTCACGTGGCATTGCTGAAGCCCACGTACTCGTGCCCACCCATCTTGTTAAGGTACTCCATGACCTGCGTTGGGAAGCAGTTCGGCACATTATGGATAGCGCAGCAACAGCAAGGAAGACGGCGATACACAGGACAGGAGCGAGTGTATGATGTGCAGCTGCTTTAGTCAAATTACATGAAAACTTTTTCACTGCCAGTGTGAAATGTGCTTCTACCGGGGCAATGGATCTCATCATCGCTCACTTGCCATTGCTTTTTTTTTTCTCAATTAACTTCTGAGATTATAGTAATAGGTTTTTACCCTTTTATCTGGCACGAAAAAAACTGACACCTTTATACGAGGGATCATGTTTGCAATAACCACAACACAAGCAGTCAAAATGCAAACAAAAAGAGACAACTCTGATAATGATATTGGCACTGTCCTTGAAATTGATTGGTCCACACCCAAGACAGCTTTTCTTAGAGCCTAGTCTCCACTGGTGTTGGACCAGATGACGCCAAAAGGCATACCATTATCAGAGTTGTCTCTTTTTGTTTGCATTTTGACTGCTTGTGTTGTGGTTATTGCAAACATGATCCCTTGTATAAAGGTGTCAGTTTATGTGCCAGATAAAAGGGTAAAAACCTATTACTATATCTTGCTACTGGCAAAGGTGTTCTGAGATTATTTCAAGTCAAAGGTAATGTGTCTCCACACCTAAGCCCTGGGGGAAGTGCTCAACTCAACTCAATATTATTAACCTCAGATGGATGATGTGCTCAATTAATAATTCCCAAATTAGGATTTGAACTCGAAAACTTTTAAATTGAGTTATGCAGTCTTCAACAGCACCACACTAAACAATGCATTTAAGTTTGTTGCATTACTAATAATGCTACCATATTTATATGTACAACAGAATTATCTCTGCAAGATAGTTCTTACGTTCGTTATTGTCATGAACAATAAAGACGGCCTTGATAATGTATCCATGCAGATCATACACAGTGGCAGTGTTAACAAAAAAATAAGCAGGGCAGCCTCAGGGCCGAGAATAGTTGGTAATTAAAGAAGACTTTCGATGAGCATGCAAAGTGCTCATTATTGCATTTGAGCACTGATGAGCGACCATTTAAAATTAGCCATGGAATCTCAGCTGAACAAACCGATGAAGTCTGATCCTTGGGACTCGTTATATAAATATAATCCTCACTCAAATTATTGGGATCGATTACACCATGACTGATTTCCTTTATATCTATGCAGCGCCATTCAACCCGGGAGAGTATTCAGGAATCAGCATTTCAGAATAACACAGGTACATCTCCAAAACTCAAGGTTTGCAACCAGGATGTGTAATTGAAATCGATTTTGCAGCACGTCATCATGGGGCTAAATTTGCCTTGAAACCCACAAAAATACCACGAGGTCAATGACTACCGTATTTTCCCGCATATAACCCGCAGAGGGTGGGGCAGCTGAGGGGAGAGAGAGGTGGGGGGTGGGGGTGGGGCAGTTGGGGGGAGAGAGAGGTGGGGGGTGGGGCAGCTGCGGGGAGAGAGAGGTGGGGGTTGGGGGGTGGGGCAGTTGGGGGGAGAGAGAGGTGGGGGGTGGGGCAGCTGCGGGGAGAGAGAGGTGGGGGTTGGGGGGTGGGGCAGCTGAGGGGTTGGGGGGGTAGCTGGGGGGAGAGAGAGGTGGGGGTTGGGGGGTGGGGCAGCTGGGGGGAGAGAGAGGTGGGGGTTGGGGGGTGGGGCAGCTGAGGGGTTGGGGGGGCAGCTGGGGGGAGAGAGAAGTGGGGGTTGGGGGGTGGGGCAGCTGGGGGGAGGGAGAGGTGGGGGTTGGGGGGTGGGGCAGCTGGGGGGAGAGAGAGGTGGGGGTTGGGGGGTGGGGCAGCTGGGGGGAGAGAGGTGGGGGTTGGGGGGTGGGGCAGCTGAGGGGAGGGAGAGGTGGGGGTTGGGGGGGTGGAGCAGTTGGGGGGAGAGAGAAGTGGGGGTGGGGGGGGCAGCTGGGGGGAGAGGTGGGGGTTGGGGGCGGGGCGACGGCGTTACCGTAGTGCCGCTATTATCTGCGCAGTGCGCAATCTACCAGTGCTAAAACTGTACTTGCGTATCTACCAGTTATGTGTTACTTATATATTGGATATTTACTTTTGTTACTTATTTACTGTTTTAAGTTCACTCGTTTCTGGTTAGTTTGTTTTCTTTGTGCACGTTATGATTTTAATGTTAACAATTGATAGTGGAATGTATTACAAATGTAAACTTCGTATTAATATGATGGAATCAAGCTGCGGTAACGACGTTAAATATATGAATGCATGTGGAGTATATGGAGGTGCGGGCTATCTGAAATTTGTTTCACACAAAACGCTATTTTTGCGGGGTATATGAATCTGCGGGTTATATGCGTGTGCGGGCTATATGCGGGAAAATACGGTAATTGTACTGGACACCTGAAGAGACGCATGGGTTGGAGGAATGCCCTTGCTGTCGCAGACAGTGATTAGAGAAGCTATTTGACACGAGCAAATGATGAGGCCCATTGGCTGGTGTTGAATCTAAATCCAGAGGAGCCCCCATGTGGAGATTTCGGTCAGAAAGGCACTCGTGATCAAAGCTTGTGGGGCACACACGAATGTCTTCTGCAGGTGAGTTACTCACATGGTCAAACTTCTCAGAGGTGTGTGCTCCTTGCTGTGAACAGAAATAAAATACCTTTGATGTTATGTTTCCGAAAATAAAAAAAGCCATTTTAGTTCATAAAGTACAGTATCATTTTATCATTTAAAATGATACTGTATCATGGGAACTCCTTTCCCAGTACCAAAATATGAGAAGAGGTTTCCCCCCTTTTTTCTGGCAACAAAACAGGTGTTAAGATGTAAAAAAAAAACACCAAACTGAAACCTTTCACGAGGAATCATGCCTGCATTAAACCACAATACTTGCGGCCATAATGCAAACAAAAAAACACAACTCTGATAATACATGCATCGTCTTTGTATGGTTTGTACACCGTTTGAGACTCGGCTCCAAAGAAAGCTGTACTCTTGTGTGGACCACAATCAGTTTCATGAGACAATGCATATGTAGTGGAGTAACACGCGCGGGGTTTTGCAAACAAGTGTGCACGCGTGTGTGAGCTGCGGACAGCGAGTTCACATCGGGTGCTGCGAGAGAAAGCAACGAGAGAGCGAGAGAGAGACGACCAAGATGCATAGCGGTGATTGACTGGCTGCAAATGCAGGCGCCAGGTTGGCGAGAGATTGAGGCGACAGCGGCCGAGGCCACGGGCGAGAGGCGACGGGAGGACGCCAGCTTAATTAGGGCGTTTAACGAGGAGCAAGATAAATAGGGCAACGTGTGAGGCAGATGAGGTTGAGTTGGTTGGAGTGAAGACGAAAGCGAACACGACAGAAGTCCTTGGCCACGATGTCCACAGCTCGCTCTCTCCGGTGGTGATGGCGAGTGTGGAGAAGTGAGGTTAGACAGGCTAGCAGTAGAGAAGCTAGCAGGGTGTATAGCGAGAGGCTAGCAGTAGAGAAGCTAACAGAGTGTATAGTGAGAGGCTAGCAGTGGAGAGACTAGGCGAATGAAAGGAAGCAGGCTAGCAGTGGAGAGGCTAGGAGAATGAAAGGGAGCAGGCTAGCAGTGGAGAGGCTAGGAGAGTGAAAGGGATGCAGGCTAGCAGTGGAGAGGCTAGGAGAGTGAAAGGGATGCAGGCTAGCAGTGGAGAGGCTAGGAGAATGAAAGGGAGCAGGCTAGCAGTGGAGAAGCTAGGGGAATGAAATGGAGTAGGCTAGCAGTGGAGAGGCTAGGAGAATGAAAGGGATGCAGGCTATCAGTGGAGAGGCTAGGAGAATGAAAGGGAGCAGGCTAGCAGTGGAGAGGCTAGGGGAATGAAAGGGAGCAGGCTAGCAGTGGAGAGGCTAGGGGAATGAAAGGAAGCAGGCTAGCAGTGGAGAGGCTAGAAGAATGAAAGGGAGCAGGCTAGCAGTGGAGAGGCTAGGGGAATGAAAGGGAGCAGGCTAGCAGTGGAGAGGCTAGGAGAATGAAAGGGATGCAGGCTAGCAGTGGAGAGGCTAGGAGAATGAAAGGAAGCAGGCTAGCAGTGGAGAGGCTAGGGGAATGAAAGGGAGCAGGCTAGCAGTGGAGAGGCTAGGAGAATGAAAGGGAGCAGGCTGGCAGTGGAGAGGCTAGGAGAATGAAAGGGATGCAGGCTAGCAGTGGAGAGGCTAGAGGAATGAAAGGGATGCAGGCTAGCAGTGGAGAGGCTAGGAGAATGAAAGGGAGCAGGCTAGCCGTGGAGAGGCTAGGGGAATGAAAGGGAGCAGGCTAGCAGTGGAGAGGCTAGGAGAATGAAATGGATGCAGGCTAGCAGTGGAGAGGCTAGGGGAATGAAAGGGAGCAGGCTAGCAGTGGAGAGGCTAGGAGAATGAATGGGAGCAGGCTAGCAGTGGAGAGGCTAGGAGAATGAATGGGAGCAGGCTAGCAGTGGAGAGGCTAGGGGAATGAAAGGGAGCAGGCTAGCAGTGGAGAGGCTAGGGGAATGAAAGGGAGCAGGCTAGCAGTGGAGAGGCTAGGGGAATGAAAGGAAGCAGGCTAGCAGTGGAGAGGCTAGAAGAATGAAAGGGAGCAGGCTAGCAGTGGAGAGGCTAGGGGAATGAAAGGGAGCAGGCTAGCAGTGGAGAGGCTAGGAGAATGAAAGGGATGCAGGCTAGCAGTGGAGAGGCTAGGAGAATGAAAGGAAGCAGGCTAGCAGTGGAGAGGCTAGGGGAATGAAAGGGAGCAGGCTAGCAGTGGAGAGGCTAGGAGAATGAAAGGGAGCAGGCTGGCAGTGGAGAGGCTAGGAGAATGAAAGGGATGCAGGCTAGCAGTGGAGAGGCTAGAGGAATGAAAGGGATGCAGGCTAGCAGTGGAGAGGCTAGGAGAATGAAAGGGAGCAGGCTAGCCGTGGAGAGGCTAGGGGAATGAAAGGGAGCAGGCTAGCAGTGGAGAGGCTAGGAGAATGAAATGGATGCAGGCTAGCAGTGGAGAGGCTAGGGGAATGAAAGGGAGCAGGCTAGCAGTGGAGAGGCTAGGAGAATGAATGGGAGCAGGCTAGCAGTGGAGAGGCTAGGAGAATGAATGGGAGCAGGCTAGCAGTGGAGAGGCTAGGGGAATGAAAGGGAGCAGGCTAGCAGTGGAGAGGCTAGGAGAATGAAAGGGAGCAGGCTAGCAGTGGAGAGGCTAGGGGAATGAAAGGGAGCAGGTTAGCAGTAGAGAGGCTAGGAGAATGAAATGGATGCAGGCTAGCAGTGGAGAGGCTAGGAGAATGAAAGGGAGCAGGCTAGCAGTGGAGAGGCTAGGAGAATGAAAGGGAGCAGGTTAGCAGTGGAGAGGCTAGGAGAATGAAATGGATGCAGGCTAGCAGTGGAGAGGCTAGGAGAATGAAAGGGAGCAGGCTAGCAGTGGAGAGGCTAGGGGAATGGAAGGGAGCAGGCTAGCAGTGGAGAGGCTAGGAGAATGAATTGGAGCAGGCTAGCAGTGGAGAGGCTAGGAGAATGAAAGGGATGCAGGCTAGCAATGGAGAGGCTAGGAGAGTGAAAGGGAGCAGGCTAGCAGTGGAGAGGCTAGGGGAATGAAATGGATGCAGGCTAGCAATGGAGAGGCTAGGAGAGTGAAAGGGAGCAGGCTAGCAGTGGAGAGGCTAGGAGAATGAAAGGGAGCAGGCTAGCAATGGAGAGGCTAGGAGAGTGAAAGGGAGCAGGTTAGCAGTAGAGAGGCTAGGAGAGTGAAAGGGAGCAGGCTAGCAGTGGAGAGGCTAGGGGAATGAAAGGGAGCAGGTTAGCAGTAGAGAGGCTAGGAGAATGAAATGGATGCAGGCTAGCAGTGGAGAGGCTAGGAGAATGAAAGGGAGCAGGCTAGCAGTGGAGAGGCTAGGAGAATGAAAGGGAGCAGGTTAGCAGTGGAGAGGCTAGGAGAATGAAATGGATGCAGGCTAGCAGTGGAGAGGCTAGGAGAATGAAAGGGAGCAGGCTAGCAGTGGAGAGGCTAGGGGAATGGAAGGGAGCAGGCTAGCAGTGGAGAGGCTAGGAGAATGAATTGGAGCAGGCTAGCAGTGGAGAGGCTAGGAGAATGAAAGGGATGCAGGCTAGCAATGGAGAGGCTAGGAGAGTGAAAGGGAGCAGGCTAGCAGTGGAGAGGCTAGGGGAATGAAATGGATGCAGGCTAGCAATGGAGAGGCTAGGAGAGTGAAAGGGAGCAGGCTAGCAGTGGAGAGGCTAGGAGAATGAAAGGGAGCAGGCTAGCAATGGAGAGGCTAGGAGAGTGAAAGGGAGCAGGCTAGCAGTGGAGCGGCTAGGAGAATGAAAGGGAGCAGGCGAGCAGAGCAAGTGGGAGAGTTGCGACGGAGTCACGTGGCGTTGAATGCGAGGAGTTGTTCGAAAAAAGTGAGACAGGAGAAAAATAAATTTGTCCGCGTGATATAACGCCACTACACGCACTATCAGTGTTTTTGTTTGTTTGTTTGAATTCTGACCACAAGTATTGTGGTTAATGCAGACATGATTCCTCGTAAAAGGTTTCAGTTTGGTGTTGTAACATCTTAACGCAGCTGTTTTGTTGCCAGAAAAAAGGGGAAAACCTATTCTGATATTTTGCTACTGGCAAAAGGAAGTCCCATGATACAGTATCATTTATTTTGTTTAACCTGGACTTATTCTGCATTTGTGTATACAACATTCTCTATGTATGTCTGTTCTTGTCTGCATATTCTCAATTATAAATCACCCTTCCTTTGCCGTTACAGTTATAAAGCAGGCATCTGGCAGTACTGAGTGTGTCTTGCATTTAAACACACGGTAAAAACAAACCACTCTTTACAGAAGCACCTGAAATATCAAAGTGTGTTTAATAAACATCGCCCACATTCCACAAACAACACACCCAAGATTTCCATTCGTGACAAGTGCGTATGCATTAACCGCCGAAAATAATAGAGACTTAAAACTTTCGTGACTGCAGGAATTCATATTCTTGTTTCCCCCCCCCCCCCCCCCCCGTAAAGTTACGTACATAGAAAACAAAAATCAAAATTCAAAGCAAAAAAACCCCACGACGTTTCGATCGCAACACAAGCGGTCTTCATCAGGTGCATGGAAAAGAGGGTGGGCAAGCCTTCAAATGTAGCTGCTTATAAGGGCTCCAGAATGAGTGGGCGGGGCAAAGGACTGCGTGGGCAGACAATGTGGGGGACAGACCAATGGGGATACACAAATTCAAGGGCTCCAGAATGAGTGGGCGGGGCAAAGGGCTGCGTGGGCAGACAATGTGGGGGACAGACCAATGAGGATACACAAATTCAAGGGCTCCAGAATGAGTGGGCGGGGCAAAGGGCTGCGTGGGCAGACAATGTGGGGGACAGACCAATGGGGATACACAAATTCAAGGGCTCCAGAATGAGTGGGCGGGGCAAAGGGCTGCGTGGGCAGACAGGGGGAGAGAGAGGGATGATGGGGCAAAGATGGGGGGGGGAGTAGAGATGGGAGGAGGGAGGAATTGCACCTCGGTACACCCATCAGAAAATGGGGGGGGGGGGGGGGGAAGGAATGGGGCAGAGACAGAGGGAGAGAGAGGGGGTGGAGCAGAGATAGAGCGGGGAGGGGTAGAGATGGGGGAGCGGTAGAGATGGGGGGGGTAGAGATGGGGGGGGT